AGGTGTCCCATTAGAAGACTTCTAAGCTTCATCCCACCAGCTTTTCAAAGGCACATCCCCCACCCCACCATTCCTTGGCACCTCAATCAAAGAGCACCTGAAATGATGCTCCCTTAGATCTCAACTCTGAAAGCACCTTCTGCCTCTCTCTATAGCCCCCTGGCACACATCTGCCTTCAGGAAAGAAAACATACCATACCACAAGCAGTAAACCTGTCCAGGCAGCACACATGGAGCCCGGGAGCACCACATGCCATTGCAGCATCCCAGCAGCAACATCCAGGGTCCTCCCAGCCCAGAGAAGCCTCCAAACAGCACCACCAAAAACAACAGCTCCTCAAAGGAACAACTTGAATGCCCAAACCTCCTCACAAAGCCCTCCAATCAGTTCTTTAAGTACCTGGGAATGAAGGTCACCAGGCTCCACCAATCCAAAGGCTTCCCTCGTTGCAGGGGTCCTGCCTTTCCTGGTGAAACACCTGAGCTCTGCCAGCCTTCGTTAACAAAGATTAATTGCTTTTAGGCCCACTCCTTCAGCTTCCTCCTCATCTTTCCTCTCTGTGTTGAATCTAACGGACTTCCGAGAGGATTGCCGATTGCTCTGGATGCCAAGTGCCTGTTTTACAATGTCCCCATACAGCATTTATGCTCATCCCCCACCTAGGACGTGATTCCTGATGACTTCTTGCATGTGGAATGCCGAGTGTTCCTTCCTGCTCATCCACACAGAGATATTAGGGAGCAGAGAGTAGAGTCACCATTCCGCTTTGTCCCAGAAAGCACTCAATGGCCAAGCTCCTATCTTCCAAATTCCTCATTGGAATTACAGTGAGGTGTAGCAGGAAGCTTCCCTTGGAGGAGTCTGGGATGCAGGTAGAAACAAGGACAGGTGCCAGATGCCTGCACCAGAACCCCATGGCAGAGGTCTGGCACGTCCCCACCACCTCCACAGTTCCCTCGAAGCACCTTGGCACCGACTCTTCTCCATTTGTTCTCTGTGCTTGTGCCTTCCTCAGACTTCCAGGCTTTCATGCCCATCCATGGTGCAGACGAGCCCAAATAGCCCAGAGTGGGGATGGACCATTTAAGTTATCTCCATGCCAAAGGTCTCTGGAGGTTCCATCTATTATGGGATCTTCTCAGTAACCTTTCTTGGCTCATTTATTTAGCAAATCTTCTCTGTGCATCTTGATGGAATCAGCCCAGAGATGATAACAGCAGATATGGGTTGACCTATGGGATTCCTGGAGTGATCAAACTGTCAGATAACAAAATAAATCTTCTCCGTGGGCTGGAGATTAAATCAGAGCGTGTTGGCTGTTGCAGCTTCTTATTTATTCCTGTTCTCCTAAATTGCATTTCCCTTCCCCCTATGGCGAGTGCCTGCCAGCCACAGCTGTAAATTCCAGCAGAGCTTCACGGTGGGTTCAGACACGAGGCTTTTAACCTTGCCAGCTCCTCTTGCGAGCTTCTCTTTACAGTCTCCAAAAGCTCCTGGGGAAGCTCTTGGGAAAAACAATTCCCTAGCGAGCACCTACCTTAGAACTCGATTTGCGACAAGACCAAAGGATGTCCTTGCCCCTGGTGCCCACAACTGCGGCCAAAACTACTCAGACTCCCAAACCATTTGTGCATCCAACTCCCATAGGTAAAATTCCTCAGGGCTAGACTAATTTGGGAGCAGCAATCTCTAGCCTTTCGTTAGACTCCGTTTTCCTAAATCCTGGAGATGGTTTTGCTGCATTTCTCAGCTGGGTGACCGTGGCTCCAGCATCCTTGTGCATCCTGGTGGAGATGCTCCAGGCCCTGCTTTCCCAAAGCTTCGGGTCATTTTGCGCACGGACATTTTTGGCTGCCCTCAGCAGGGTCTGGAGCTCGGACACAGCTGAGGCCTCCTCGGTGCCAACCTGGCAGCTTTGCTCAGCAGCTGAGGCCTCTCGGACGGGCACAACGGGCTCCTCGTGACGTACTCCGAGAGCACGAGCGGGCAGCCCCTCCGGCACCTCCCGCGGGAGCATCCGGAGGCTCGCAAGCCAGGGATGTGCCCTCCACACCTCTGTCGTGGTGCTGGAAATCTACCCATCCCCTTCCTCACCTCCCGGGACCTTCCCAAAACACTCGGAAAGGGCTCAGGTATCCACAGCCATCCATGTGCAGGGACATCGGGGATAGATGCAAGAGCAGCTCCGCTTCTTCCAGCGGGAACAACGTGTCCTATAACCCTGGAGAAGGCTGCGAGCGAAGTCGGGTGATGAGTTTCCTTTCTGAAAGCAGGTCCTTAGCAAAATACCAGTTGTTCTTCTAGCTGGAAAAGAAGATACCTCGCCCCCTGTAAGTGATTTGGGGGTTGATAGGATTGGACTGCAGGATGTGGAAGTGTTAAAAGGTCTGCAAAGAGGCGGCTGCTCCTTTCGTGGCTTCTGTTCACCATGCCCACCTGAAAATCTTCCCAAACTATTGGATTAGGATTCGCTTGCATTTTATATCCACACAAAAATACGCCTTTATAAACCGGAAAGCTTTATCTTGACTCTAACCAGCACCCTCGACTTAAAGCTAAATGCATAATTTACTGCAAATTGAACTTAATAGGTCTAGAATAATTATGTTGACTTTTGGAAGTACTTAAGGATAAACACATGATTAGATATTTTGCACACCGCCAGGAAATATTTATTTCGAAATACAAATTCCTCCCGTTGAGCCTTTTGATGGACTATTTAGAAGTGACACTCTCAGCATTGAGATTACGGTATCATTAAGGCCACTTTAATAAATTACCCAGCTGCATTTTCCGCAGTCGAGAGGTGGGAAGTCTCCAGGGAAAGGCAGCCGCCCCATGGGACGCGACCCTCATGCAGGTCCCTCAGCCCGGCTGGGGGTCCCTCACGCTGCTCGCCAGCGTGGATGCAGGAAGGCAGTGGGGGCACCCAAGCACAGCGGTGCCGGCAGCGGGGTAGGAGCGAATCCCAGATGGGATCGTACCGGCTGTGACCTCTGTGGTCTCCTCCATCAGCATCAAGAGCTTCAGCAAGCGGCATCCGTGCGTGAGCCGGGAGGATGGATGTTGAGCAGAGAGCAGGGATGGGCTCACCTAGCACTGCCGGGCTCAGGATTAGGGTACAAGCCCTAGGTGACCTAGGTGACCAACCATGTTCTCATCCAGGTCACCTCCAAGGACAGCAGACATTGGCTTAGGGAAGTCACCCCCAGCCCTATCAGACCATGGAGCTGCTGAGGAATCCCCAGTTCCCGGAGAGAGTGAAACACAACCTGCTGGGAATGGAGACTGTTCAGCCAGGGATGCTGACGGCTCCAGGTCCTGCTGTCCCCAACGCCACCGGGAATGGTGACACTGGGAACGAGCCCATTCCTGGGTCCCCTCCAGGCCAGGACCCCCTGGCAAGGGCCGGGATCCCGCCAGTGCTCCCAGCCCTTCCTAAGTGCAACCCTGCTTTTAATTTGCATTATCCCCCTTTTTGTTCTTTATCAGTAAAACGTAATTACAACATCCTTCACAAACCTTAATTAAAGATGAAAAACAGTCCTGACAAGTCAATTAGGTTTTTTTTTCCCCCCCAACCCCTCCTTAGCCTCCATTAAATTAAGACTCAAGTGTTACTGGAAGTGTTTAATATCACAACACATTAAACCCGAGGCGGCTCCATAATAAATAAATCACTGCAGACACCGCCGGAGCTTTCTTTTTCTGCAGCCCTTTCTTATGCATTTATTTCCCAGTCATGAAATGTACTCAGAAGAGTTTCTCTTTCTGCTTGCATTTTTTTTTCCTAGCCCTTCATATGGGAAAACCAAGGCTGGGACTAAGTCCAGGGGATCCCACTGGCATCAGCGGAGCAATGAGGTTTAACTACAGCCTTTGCCTGGTCCTGATTTTGGGGTGTTTTTGCTGTTTCTGCAGTTATAAGCACATCTAGATTTCCAGCCCTGCACTAGATTGCACCCCTGCTCAAGATGACGATGAGGAGGATGAGGCTGCAGGAAGGACACAGGTTTTGGCTCCGCAGGGCAGTGAAAGAAACCCAGAGGCCATCACAAATTGGAGAACATTTATTTAGGCAATTGATTTTCTTAAAAGAAAGCAAAAAAAAAAAAAAGTCATAGGAGTAATTAAAAAAATAAACTGAACAACAGGCGGGTGCGCGTGGGACAAGAGGCGCTTCCAGTGCCAGCGGCCCCGCACCGGTCCCCCGCGCGCAGGCAGCGCTTTGCGTGGGAACCACCTTCTCCGTGTGGACACAAAGTCATTCTGACGTGGTGTGGGTTTGGTCTTCTTTATTTTTATTATTAAAAAGGAAAAAGAAAAAGCACCACTCCAATCCGGAATACCAATAAACTTTATCCATCTTAAGAAGGGTATTTATATTTTATATATTTCTCTATATATATTCCTATGTACAGGATGGCCTCGCTTCAGGGCACACGAGCATCTCCGGCAGGGCTGGATAGTGGCTGCTCGTCCCAAGAGATGCTCGGGACACCCAGAGATACCCAGCAAGGAGATATTAGGAAAAAAAAAAAAAAAAAAAAAGAAAAGAAAAAGAAATCTCACTTTTAAAACATATCTACAACTCCTCCAAGTCTCTGTTTTCTCATGGGGGCTAAACGGGGTTTCCATTTTTCTTCTTTTCTTTTTTCATTACTATTTCTTCCTGGCCGTGTTGCCCGCGCACGGGGAATAGGCGGATGCAGGAGAAGCGGCTCTGGTGCCACCAAAGCCCCAGTGCCCACGGGAGCCTGGGACATCCCAGAAAGTAGATTTGCAAGCCAAAAATAAGAATAAACCCAACTTCTGAATTCTGGGTACCAAGGTGGGGCAGCAGCGGCCACCAGGCTGGAGCATCCCACCGCACCCAGCGCTCCAGCTGCAGCGCTCCGGGCACAGATGCAGCCGCGGAGAGGGGGGGATTTGGGCAAAAGGCGGCCGTTTTGGCAAAGCTGCTCCTGCAGGGCCAGGGCTGGCGATGCTGGAAGCGCCGGGAGAACAACCCGAGCGGGCGAGGGAGCCGACAGACGGCTGGTTTATAGCCCTTGGAATCGGTTATCGCGAGTGTTTCAGCGAGGCCGAGGGCTCCGGCGCAGACACCGGTGCCGCCTCTGCCCCGGGCTCCTCAGCTCAAGGCACAGGGTCGGATGCTGCTCGCGGCCACCCCGGCACGGCCGTCGGCGCTGGAGCGCGCGAGGTGCGGCAAGAGCCTGGAAACCGGGGCAGGAAGCAGCCAGGAATGGGAAGCCGGAGCTTGTTCCTGGCTGGAATTGCAAACATTTAACGCGCAAGTGGTTGCATATGAATAAATACTCCGAAACAAAGGAAGGGATTTGACTTGGGCTGCTCTTCCCCATTTGGAAGGCGGCTGGAAAATTGCCCCCTTTGAGCTCAGCTGGGATTCGAGCGTCCTCCAAAGGGTGATCCAGCCTCTGGATAATGCAGCATGCATCGCAATGCCCGCAGGAACAGCTCCTCCACAACCTGCCTTCCTCCCTCCCCACAAAATAATCTCTAATTGCTACAAAATCAGATGGAAATAAGTGCATTTCGGCACAGCTCGTCCCCCTCTGCCGCCTCGCCGGGATTAGTCTGGCGCCAGCTCCTGGATTAGCCCCAGGACACCCCGCTGGTGTCCACAGGGACTCGGGCCCCTCCATCCAGGCTGACAAGCTCCTCAGGGTGAGGACGGGGTTCTCCTAAAGTGATCGGATTCACCCTGGCGCCCTGCTAATCCCGGGAATAATCCCGGCACCTCCGAGGGCGGGTTTTATCCGGGGGCTTTCAAGGAAAAAAAAAAAAACCAACTCCAATTTTAACTCGGGGCAGCAGGGCGGGGCTGCTGGATTTCGGCGGGGTCACGTTCCCGCTCGGGACCTACCTTTGGGGACAGTCCTGCCACCCCACGGCCACCAGGCCCGTCCCCACCGCGTGCGGTGGCACCAGCGCCATCCACCTTTGCAACCCACAGCGGGGGCAACGGAGCAGCCGACGGCCCGTGGGAGACAGAAGGACACAAATTTCCCGTTTTTCTCTTGAATTTGTTCAGGAATTCAGTGCTGCGAGTGTCAAGGATCGCACGGAACTGGCCGAGCCCAAGGGGAAGGAGCGTTTCCTTGGGCTCCTCACCCCGTCCCCTGCATTCACAGCCAGGTTGCATTCACTGCAACCAGGCCGCGTACCCCAAGTGGGGGCAACTCACAGAAATAAAAGGGTGAAGATCAAACTCATGATTAGCTCAGGGTGAAATTCAGAAAACTCCTTTTAGGGTCTTTGCTGCATATCAGGGCTCAGTCCCACAAAGGGCAGAACCTGCCGGCACCCTCGATCCTGCCGGGCTCCTCCAAAGAGCAGCTTCCACTCCACGGCCTATTATAAAAATGACATCTCATCTCCAAATATCCATTGTGCCCTTGCTGGGAAACGGGCTGGGGATCCTTTGGCCTCTTCCTCGGTCTCTGCTTCAGCTTCAGAGGTGCCGGGGCACCAAATCCATTGCCAGGATCCACGTCCTGGCTGCGGTGATGGGTGAGTCCCAGCATCCGACCCACGTCCGACACGCACGGGGTGAGAGGAGGGGAAGGAGGATGGAGAGCGGAGTATGAAGGCCAGGAACGGCCCGTCCCCACGTCCTGCCTTTTGTTTCTCGTTTGGTTTTAGGTTTTTCTTGCTGCGCTGGTTTCCCCCTCCTCGCCTTCGGCACGAGCTCGACGTCCACGTGCAAAATGCATTTTGGCACAAGCCCCACGCACAAGCACCGGCCTTCGCTCCGCGGCGAGGTGCTATCTGGTCTCCAGCGCCTCCAGGTATTCCAGTGCTAAGTCGTAGCAGAAGTGATACTGCTCCTGCACAGAGCGGGGAGAGAGGGTGGTAAGAGGCCAAGCAAAGCCCCTCACAACGCTGCCCCTCGCCAAGGCAAAAGAAGTTGCAAGGGCTCAGGGAACGTCAGAGGAATTTGGAAACTCCCCACTGAATGGAGGGAAGCAGCCCCAGGTCCCCTGGAACACAAAGATTTTGCCCCAGGCTCAGCCTTCCATTTGCTGCAATCTGGTTTTTCACAGGGAATGAAGAGTCACTTCAATGCCAGAGATGGAGACCACCCTGCAAAGGGGCTGTGGGAAACGGTTTGACCCGGGGAAAGTGGCCGGGGGGTTCCAGAGCAAAATCCCAGCTCTGAAATCGGGGCCAGTTTAACGTCCGAGTTCGACCGAAGCTACAAATGGCTTTTGGACCCATGCACATTCATCGACCTCGTCGATTCTGTGCTCCGGGCTCCGCATTACCAGGGAACTGCTGCCTGCGGAAACACCCTGCGCAGAGCTGCCAGGAACCATCTGCAGCACAAGTATTGCTGCTGCAGAAAGAAAAATGCCACTTTCCCTCCTGGCACTGCAGGGCGATGCTGCTGCCCTTGGGTGTTCATCGTGCAAGGGAGAAGAAGGCTCAGGAGTTTTTCCCTTCTCCCGCTCCCTGCCTTTCATTTCCATTTGCTGAGCACCAAATGTCCTGTGGGAAAATGCAAGGCTGAGTGTGGGAGTGCCTCGCTGTTTGAGTCAAGGTTGTCCCCATCTCTGCACCTCCTGGGACTGCCGAGCTCTTCTCCACCCACCCTCAGAAATCCTGGACCTCCCCTTCAAGCCTCCAACAAGCAAAACAGAGGAGGGGGAGAGGGAAAATGGGGAGCAAAAGAGGTTTTGGACAGGATCGGCTCTATTTTCCCCTTTTGCCGTGTCCACAGGGAACGGGTCGAGCCACCTTGATGGCAGCAGGAGCCACCACGACTCACCCAGGAAGGGGGGCAGCTCACTGGGGACCCCAGGGAAAAGGGCTTCAAAGCAAGGAGGCTGTGACAGTTGATATGAAAAGCACATAATGCTTCCGGATTAGGAAAAGGGATTGTTCCCATTTATCCTAGTATAAAACTAGCCCCCAGGGGCAAGCAGCGGGGGAAGGTGCTCGGGCGGGCTGAGCGGCCAGCGAAGCAGCAGCACTCGAGCTGCTCTTTCCCCCGCGCGGGGACCGGCCTCCCCCGCAGCTCCATTACACTGGGATGCCCGGAATAGACATTCCAGGTTCATTCCGGGCTGGAGGACGCTTGCGTGCTGACCTCAAACGTTGCTTTTCTTAATATTCGCACAATTTTGTCAAATGGGCCCAGTGACTTCATGCTTGTCACTTCATCTTCTGATTACGTGCAGCCCTCCCTCTGCGCCTCTGCCCCCCTCCCTCGCTTTCTCCCTCCACTTTAATTCCTAATGCAAATCACATCCCCCTGAAAACCATTTCATTTTGCAACTTAAGGCTTTTATAATCCAAATGGGGCAAACATTTCTATCTGATTTGCTTTTAAAACACCATAAGGCACCTGGATTCCTCCACTGGAAAAGCAGGGATGGCCGCATGCCTTCCCTCTCCTCCATCCCAACAGCGAGAGCCTGCAACAAGGCACGGGCCTTTCCCCCTTTCCCCACAGGCATTTCCACAGCATGGAATGGAGAAAGGCTATAGGTAAATGCCTTAAAAATTACTGAAAGACACGAGTTGAGATTCGTGTGCTGTTAGTGTGTATGGTGGGTGAGCACCCCTATATGCTTTTCCAAGGGAAGGGCCAGGAAAGAGCAGGACAGGGACACAGGGACTGGGATGGATGCTGGTAGTGCCCAACGCTTACCAAGGTCTCTACCATATTTGGCTTGTAGTTGCGGAGGGTCTTTGCAGCATAGAAAACATCAACCATGTTGTGACGCTTGATCATCTCCAGGATCATGGTGGAGGCACAGAAGGTGCCGCTCCGGCCACCCCCATTCCTGGAGGGAGAAACACAATGTGAGAGAAGAAAGAATTCACATTAGAAAGCTTGGGGATTTTAATGTCTCTGGCACCTGGGTTCAGCTCCTAGCCCTGCCTTGACCCAGTTCCTTGTGTGACCTTGTAGAGGACAGCCGGTCCTCTGGGGTTCTCCCCATCTGCATTTGCAGAGCTCGGAAGCTGTTGGAGAGCACTGGCTGCGGGAACCAGACATGGCCACGTCCCGTAGTTTGCCCAACACAGAGGCTCCCAGGATATCTCCACTGCTCTTGGAGTGAAACCATCTGACATGCCCACGTTTGCTCCCCCAGCAGCCAAGGAGGATGGAGGAGAGGAAGAGAAAACGTGATGCTGGTATTTTATAACGTATGTTCTCAAATTATCCTTCAGTTAATGAAGATGGACGAGCCTGTAATTAATTTTTGATTAAAGGCTTGCCTGCTGTCTCTCCCAATCTGAGGACGTGCTAGGTCCCATATGAGGAAAGTGGGCATGTGTGAGCACGTCCAGGCAGGCGTGCGAGCCAGCAGGGATGAGGGGGAGGCAGAGACTGACGCAGCCTCGACAAGAAGCAAGAGGCTGGTTACACAGCTCCTGTCCACCCCCACCACTCTGTGCACGCACAGGACCTGGAGACACACCTGGCATCTCTGCTGAGCCTCGTTGCAAAGGCAGACATGGTGCCAAGGAGGAGGTGCTGCACTGTGTAAGTGGGTATCACCTCTGCTGAACACCCCACTAAGCGAGAAGAACTTTGGTGCCTAAACTGTCCCCAAACTAGGTGGTTCAAAGTGGTTTGATTTTCATCTGGGTGGGAAATTGCTCCCTTGGGGGCTTCTCAGAGGTTGGCCTGGCAGGACTACAGCCCAGCGAGCTGATGGGAGTCACTCACAAGCAGTGCACGACTGTCCTCCCGTCACCGCTCTCCTTCTGCCACCTCTCCACTTGGGCCAGGAGGTGCAAGAAGGATTTCTTGGAGTCTGGGGTGTCCCGATAGGGTGACCACCGCAGGTACTGGAAGTGCCGGACCATCAGGTGCCCTTCCTGCAACTAGGGAAAAAAGAAAAAATAAACTTCATTAGCTTGAACCTATGGGCTGTCCTCATTTGTCTCCAGGGGAGGTTTAATGGGGGACAGGAGGGGTTCACCCAACATTAATGCTAGAGGAAGAGGGAACAACCAGAGCACTGACACCAGAGAAAGCCAAGCCTAAGACTTCTCAAGCTTCCCAGCCTTGTGCAGTCTTTGGGTGCATCTGTATTGGCTGCTGTGGTCACTTGAAGTCAACCTCAGACCTCCTGGATGAGCAGGTGGCACCAGCCCGGTGTCGAGCAGCCACGTCCAGCGCGGCTGGTGGAGGCCGCTGAGCCCACCACGCTCACACCAGGGCACCTTGGCTACCTGCTGCCATCCTGCCGAGCATCCCCAAACTTCCCAGACGTCCTGGGCTCGCACGCAGGAGATCCCAGGAGACAGTTCTTCCTGTGTTCACTGCAGAGCAGGAGGCTCATGAGCAGCTCCCGCGCACGGAGGCAGAGCACGGTGGAAGCGCTTTAATACTCTGGTAATCTAGTTAGTTTTGAACGCTAATCTGGTTAGCAGGCTCTGAAAGGAGGAGGATTACAGGCACAAAGTGAAACCAGGCCAAGCTTCAGCCAGATGTGGGGCTCGGGTCTTATTCAGAAATACCCCGTGTGTTTTGATGGGATAAGAGCTGCTCGCGCGCCTGAGTCGCCAACGGCAGCACATGCACAACGTGTGGTGGGGACAGGAGGGGAAAGCGGGGATCAAACACAGATTCCCAGCTCTGGATGGCTCCGGCCACCCGTTTTGGGATGGACGGTGTGTGCGGGGCAAGCACCAAACCTCAATCACGGCAGGCAGGACTCAGTGTCTATTAAAAGCAGCCCCTGTGGTTTCCACGCAGAGGCAAGTGGGAGAGTTGGGGCTGTCTGAGCACCCACCTAGTTACACAGGGTGGCAAGCGAAGGAATCGGAACGCCGCGATGTACGGGGCCCAGCTGCTGAACAACTCTCCGACACATCGAAGGGGCTAAATCGGCTCTGGGCTTGCTTCAAGCCTCGGTGAAATGCTCGGAGCAGAGGGGCTGCTGGCCCGAGGCCACCAAGGAGCGCAGCAAAACACTGCGGCTTTCCTGGAGCTCTGCCGGCTGCCTGGGAGCTCCGTCTGGGAGAGCAATGTGGCTGCGACGGGCAGCCCTCCCAGCACCTCAACACTCCTGTTTCCAGGTGGAAGCCAGAGAGGAAAGGATGAAGCAAAGGAGTGCAGGAAAAATGGAAAAAAAACTCCTCTGACAGCCCAGGAAGAAAAGCTTCAGGCTGCTTTGGATGAAGGTTTTGGTTGGCTCTTAGGATTTGTGGCACTGCCGCGATGCCGAGGTCAAGCCTGCTCCCACCTGCAGCCGGGATGGCTTGGCAGGAGCTCGGCTTCTTGCTCTTCGGCAGCGCTCCTCCAACAGCCTGTTCCCTGGGGAAGCGGCTTCCTAGATCCAGAGATTTCATTTGCGCTGCATTTTAATGTAGCAACGGGTATGTTCTGCAATCTGCACTCAGGCCACGGAGAGCAAAGCCCCCTCGCTGAGGGATTTCTTGCCAACACCAAGGCAAGGCCAGATGCTCCCATAGGGAGTGCTAATCAAAACCCTCTTTGCCTTAGATTCCAGATAAGCAGCCAGGATTTATCTTACTTGACCCCCATTTTCCCACTCCAAAGCACTCTCCCCTGCCAGAATGTCAATCAAGTAATTTGTTCCCTTCTCGGCTCCTTAATTCTCATCTGCCCAGTGACCTCCAAGAGCGCTCTGGCCTTCTCGGCAGCCCTCAGGAGATTTACAGGCAGCAAGGACTTCTCTTCATGGTCGGCGTTTCTTGGTCCATCAGCTCTTTCTCCTCCATCTCTTTGCCTGTGTAGGACTCCGTGCGTGCTCTTCATCACAATCACTGCCCTTTCCCAACTTAGCTGCATTTCTCTTCATTCACGGGCCAGCAGAACTGGTCAAGTGTGAAAACCAAGTGTGCAGCAAATGCTGAGACAAGAGGGAAAGAAAAACCTGTGCATATCTTCTGGGTCATCAAGAAAGCTGCTCTGCCAGGTCCATGGACACCACAGAGCCGTTTTGAGGATTCTCCATCCAGGAGATAGCAGTATGTCAGGATATGGATTGACTTCCAGTGAGGAGGAGAAAGGTATTCCTGGGGAGTCATCTGAGCTCTTTGCAAGTGGATGTGAACTCAAGAAAGGCTGGATTAAGCCAAGGAGATTGTAACAAGCTCCTCTCTATGGGAGGGAAAACTGAGGCTGCATCCTCTGGAAGAAGCTGGATTGAGCTGTAGGCGTCTGCATCTACATCACAGAATCATTAAGGTTAGAAGGGACCTTTAGAGATCATCTAGTCCAATCCCCCTGCTCACGCAGGGTCACCCAGAGCACAAGGCACAGGCTGTGTCCAAGCGGCTCTTGAAGATCTCTAGAGAAGGAGACTCCACAACCTCTCTGGGCAGCCTGTTCCAGGGCTCTGGCACCCTCACTGTTAAAATTTTTTCCTTCAGTTCCTGTGGAACTTTAGGTGCTTCAGTTTGTGGCCATTTCCTCTAGTCCTATCGCTGGCCACCACTGAAAATAGGCCACCCCCTCCTCCTCACTGCCTAGCTTGAGGTATTTATACACGCTGACCAGGTCCCCCCTCAGCCTTCTCTTCTCCAGGCTGAACAGGCCCAGCTCCCTCAGCCTTTGCCCACAGGGCAGATGTTCCAGGCCCCTGATCATCCTGGTAGCCCTGCGCTGGACTCTCTCCAGCAGCTCCACATCCCTCTTGTACTGGGGAGCCCAGAACTACACGCAGGACTCAGAGGCAGCCTCACCAGGGATGAGTGGGAGGATCATCTCCCTCAACCTGCTGGAGACAGTCTTCCTAATCAGCGTGGAGTTAGTTTATATAGGATAACACCTTTCCCAACTCCACAATGCTCTTTTCCAGCACTGCATTGCCTCCTTCCCTCCAAAGGAGGGGCTCCGGCCCTTCTCCAAAGCAGCAGCTAACTGACCCAGTCCTTCCATGGAAGCCATCTCATTCAGCAGAGCCGGGATGAGATGGCAATCCTGGAGCCCGCCCGGAGGTAGGAGAGCACCTGGACACATGCACACACACGCTCACACCATTGCAGAACCGGTGGAAAGAGCCTCACCCGTGTGATGTTCTGGACTCGGAAGAGCCGAGACACGAGGTCCTCGTCAGCTGCTCCAGAAACGTATTCTACTTCCATGGGGCCGTACTGCTGGAGTCCGGGCTCGGGCCAGTACTGCAGGCAGGGCTGTGGAGAGAAGAGGCCGCGCTCGGCATGAGGAGCGGCACGCGGCAGCGCTCACCGCAGGCGGCACAGAGCTGCTGGCCACGGCTCCACACAGGACATGGAGAGGGGCTCCCGGCACCGAGGCACAGCCCCACGCCGGGAGCCAGAGCCACAGAACACAAGGTTGGAAGGGACCTCTAGAGATCATCTAGTCCAACCTTCCTGCTCAAGCAGGCACACCTACAGCATGTAGCACAGGGTGGCATCCAGGTGGGTTTTGAAGACCTCCAGAGAAGGAGACTCCACAGCCTCCCTGGGCAGCCTGTGCCAGGGCTCGGGCACCCTCACAGTAAAGAAGTTCCTCCTCACCTGGAGACGGAACTTCCTGTGCTCCAGCTTATGGCCATTACCCCTCGTCCTATCGCTGGCCACCAGTGAAAAGAGCTTGTCCCCTTCTTCCATACATTCTCCCTTCCTGAACTTATACCTGTTAATCAGATCCCCTCTCAGCCTTCTCTTCCCCAGAGAAAACAGGCCAAGTTCACTCAATCTCTCCTCATACGAGAGATGTTCCATTCCCTTAATCATCTTAGTTGCCCTTCTCTGGACCCTCTCGAGAAGCTCCACATCCCTCTTATCCTGGGGAGCCCAGAACTGCACACAGTACTGCAGGTGCGGCCTCACCAGAGCTGAGTAGAGTCCCGTTCCCATCGCTCACTCCCGAGTCGCGGCACGGGGCGGCCTCCGCTCGCGGGTGGCTCCGAGCGACAGCCACGTCCAGGCAGCCCCGTCCCGACCACCCGAACACAACTGCTCCAGCCACGGGTTTATCCGTCCTCGTCCCTGCCTTGTCGCAGCCCAGGACGCGTCTGATCCTGCAGCATCGCAGAGCGGGACGTGGCCGGCCCTAAGGACACCTCCAGGCCGTTCTGCTTCCTAACTTTCCAAGGAGCTTCCCAAGAGCAACTCAGCACCAGGATCACCCCTCTGCCCTCCTTCTAAGAGAGGCAGATCCCAACTGGCAAAGCAGCAGCCCCAGAAAGGTGCCGGATGCTTCGGGAAAGCAAATCCCTCGCGCTGCGCCAGGCAGAGCGCTGACGGATTCCTCCGGCCAAGGGTTGGGAATGCGACTGTTTTCACCCCACTGCTGCCGGGAAACCAGCATCAACACAAAATATATGATATTTGTCATTGCACTTTACCAGCACATTTAGCATTTCAGGCTATCTAACGGCTTGGGCCTAACTGCATGGCAAATGTGTTCGAGAAATAATTGGTTGTTAATAGGAGCTATAAATCTCCGAGATCTCTAAGCCTTCTAGACTCCCAGCTATAATTTGGATATTAAAACTTCCTTCAGCAAGACATAGTTCAAGTGAGGGATATACCCTCTAAGTCACCTTTCAAAGCTGCCTGCTGTAAAGGCTGATTTATTACCTGTTGGTCTTAAACTGGTAAACATTTAAGACAGCTAAATATTGTTGCACAGACATCCCTGCAGGACAGATATCCACCGGGAAGCAGGGGTGGATAGGGAGATATAAGGCAGCACTGGACAGTGCCAGGGAGCTCCCCGCAGACGGAGCTGACGGCAGCAGAGAGCAAAGAGCGGCTCTCCCACGCGAGCTCCAAAAACTGCATCCTCCTCCATCGCAGCCACGTCTGTAGCCCAAATGCTCCTGCTCTAAAAGCTCTTTGCACGAAGAGGGGAGGTGGCAGGTCCGTCCCCAAGGCAGCGAAGATTCCCCTCTGCAGGGAGCTGCAGACCCATGCAGGGGTCCTTCTGAGCCCGCAGCTTTAGCTCAGCACGTTTGCACATGCCACGTGCAAACACCAAACATAACATAGACAAGAATAAAGCCCTCACAGGACACCTTCGTGCGGAGTCATCGTTCTGTCCATCCAGGTCCTCCTCACCAACAGCACAACCACTGTTTTGGGTCCCTCACATCGAGTCTCTGATCTCAGCTCACAAAATAATCCAGCTAATGAAGTCTTCTCCAGACATCCATTAGGAGTCCATAATGCTAATTTTATGTAAAAATCCAATAGGTCTCCTCACTGAATTAACATTATGGACCTGTAATAGACTCTTAAACCTGTGCCAGCAGCAGGAGTGCTGCGGGAATCCACCTGGGGAAGGGTGCAGTGGGAGAGCAGAGCTGCAGAAGGCTCAAACACAGCTTGAGCTCCCAGGGGACACTGGAGGTGCGTTCTCGTCCCCTCTCTTTGGGGACAGGTGAGAGGTAACATCTCCCCTCCTGCTCTACAGACCTGCCCATCCCATCACACCATTAAACCAAATTATTGAGCAGCCTTCACAAGCCACTGGTGCCACTGGAAAAGAACAAAGCTTGCTGAGCCTGAAACACAAGCTCCTTCGAGGTAGAGGAGGGTGACGGGACCCATCGAGACCGTACAATCATCCAGGGCAGAGAGAGAAGGAAGGACGCATCTCGCTAGGGAAGCGCAGTCCCACAGACACATCTCCAAAATGGAACCAGGAGAACCCCATTTCACACCAAGTTTTATCCAAACTTGTCTGAAGAGCCAAGGAGCCCACAGAGAGAGGAGGATAAAACCAGTTCTTTACCTCCAAACTTTTCTGTGCCTTGTTAACCCTAGATCTCCCTGAGGTACACTGTAACTTAGCCCATGGTATGGCAATATCAAGACAACATCACGATAGTCCTGACAGAAGTCAGGTTGGTTGGTGCTGCCTCTTGGACTTCAAGTAGCCAACCCTGTGCTTCAGGAGGCTAAAACCCAGCTCCCGTAGAAAGTCCCGTCTCCTTTTCTGGAGCGGACGGCTCCAGGCAGGGGTTCTGGTTTTGCTGATGCTACTGAAAGCCATGGGATGTCCATGGGGCGCCCCGGCTGCAGCGCGCACTCACCCAGGCAGAGTTGGACTGGTTGAGCTGGTTGAGCATGACGATGGAGGTGCAGCCGTAGTCGTACACCAGCCGCCAGAAGTCAGTGGTGGTGTTCTGCAGCGGGTGCAGGGTGACGATGAAGGCAGCGCTCTTGGTGTAGCTCTGCAGAGGGGCAAGGACCACGATCAGGACAGGAACAACCTTCCAAGCTCCCCTGGGCAGGAACGTGGCCCCCAGTGTCACAGATCTACAGAACCGTCGAGGTTGGATGGGACCTCTGGAGATCATCTCCAGGACAACCTGGATTACCCAGATTCTGCATCCCACTCTCCCAAGCGAGCTTTAGCAAAGAGGAGAAGGAAAGAGGGCCAGGCACAGCAATTCCGGGTGCAGGGGACAAGCGTTGCCCCACCAGGTTCTGTGGGCAGTAAAGGGTCCCACTCCAACCACATTTCCCTGCTGCAGTTGCCACCAACTGCACCGACACTAAGAGCAAAGCTGCCCTAAGACCTCAGAAGCGCTTAACCTCCTCCAAGGCTCACCCTGGTGCTCCCAGTGCTATAAAAACCCATCCAAATCGTCTCTGCACTTGGCTCTCCCAGAGAGGGAGAAGACACCTTTGATACGCGAACAAGCATGAGCCGTCGCTCCGGATTGGGAAGCAGGACCGCAGTGCTCCAGCATCCCTGAGAATCAAGAGAAAACCTTCTACAGGCAGCAAAAAAAAGAAGTGTCAAGAGAGAAACGATTCTCACTAGTTCTTCAAAAGCACCAAGTGCTTTCAGGGCACCTCTCCATCTCCAGCAGCATCTGCCTTATGTCACTCCTCCTTTGCCAGGCATATTTAAGGCAAGGGAGCATCTCCATAAGGTGTTTTTGTACTCAGTGGCTTTCCTCTCCCCGCTGGGGAGAGATGGAAGGTGTCTGGGCAGGAGGAACCCTCCAAAGCCCCTCCTGCACGTCACCTCTTCATCTGATATAGAATCACTATGGTTGGAAAAGATCTGCAAGATCATTGAGTCCAACCGTAAAACCATAAATATCTGTAAAACCATAAAAATCCGCCAAGACTCAGCCTGGCCCCTTGCAGCAGGAACCCTGGAGGGTCCCATTCATTCCCAGCAAACCCAAAAGGGACCCGGAGAAGCCAGGTCGGGTGGGACAGGACGCCCGACCAAGCCAGCTGCTTTGGCACTTAAAAAGAGGGAGATGTTTTATCAGAGAGGAAAATGGGTTTATCCCTTCGCAAGAATTTCATCCAAAAGCCTTTTTCTATCTGCAAATTCTCTTCTCTGACCTAGGCTGTCCCTGTAGCAGAGATTAGGGAAAGGAGGCTCAGTGATGTATAAAAATAAAAGAGAGACGCAAACCCCGAGCAAAGTGAAAACAAAGCTCACGTGCCGGGCAAGTCAGAGCCCCGAGCTCGCTGCAAACTGCTGCCTGGTGCCCAGAGTCACTCCTAGCAGCCCTCGCCAGGTTCCAAACTGCTTTTGCGTAGAGCAGCAACGAGATCAACGGCCTCCAGGTGCAAAATGCCGAGCTCGGCCGGAGCACGGGGGTGCCCAGATGGAACGAGAGATGCGGAGGCCACGGGCACTGAAGTGCCCACACACGGGCACTGCGAGCATCCCATGTTCCCTGGGGACAAGCAAAGCAGTTTTGGCTGCCAGAGGCTGTGGCCTCCGCACTCCGATCTGCGACTGCTGGTAGGTTTGGGAGAGCTCCCGTGTTTCCTCCTGGAAGCAGAGGAACACGTGCATGGGAGCACGGAACTTTTGTGCCGCTGGAGAGGGGCACGTGCCAACGCAGCCCGGCTGCACGAGCCCAAGCTGCACACTGCAAAGCTCCGGGCTAGCGATTCCCTCCGGAGAGCTTCCTCTCCCTTTGCGGCACAGAGTTTCCCTAGGAAATAAAGGAGGACACGGCCCCAACCTTCCTTTGTGTGCAGCTCATGAGAGCAGATGAAAAGCGCTTTCAAAGGGAGCGTGAGGTCACTGCACAAAAGAAGTGGGGAAGCACCCAGCTCAGTCAGTCCTGCCTCGTCCCCCAGGGCTGCTGACGGATCCCGGCGCGCACGAGCGCGGAGCAGCACGCGCCCGTGTGCATCTGTGCCAGAGGAGGCGGGGGGTTCAACCCGAGCCCAGCTTTGCCTTTGAAAGCCGCCCCGCAGCCTAAGCTGGCTCCACCAAATGCAATCCAGACGGCTTCTGCATCTCGTGGGTGCAAAAATTGCACCAAAATTGGTGCAAAAGCCACTCTGCAGCCTAAGGCAGCTCCATTGAATGCAACCCATGCAGCTTCTGAGGCCCTGGGGGTGCAAAACTACACCATGCAGCTCAGTTTTTGCACGAGCAAGGATGCTTAGGCTGCTGTGCTATGAGCTCCCTTAGGGACGCCGTGAAGCTGACCGCAGCAAAGGGAGCCCAAAGGTGCTGCAAGGGCTCGGGAAGGAGCCGCAGCCCTTCGCCCCCGCACGCTTACGTCGGTTAAGGCCGCGTTGATGTAGTTGTTGCTGTCTCCGTCCACGGAGATGAGGAAGGGGAGGCACCGGTCGGGCGGCAGGACGTCCATGCTGCGGTTCCTCTCGCGGTTGCGGGGCAGCAGGGCGATGCTGCACTCCTCCACGTCCAGGTGCGGCGTCACCGAGTTGAGGGTCTGCGGGGACACGCGCGACTCCGCGCTTAGCGGCCCCGGCAGCCCCTGCGGCGCGCAGCCCGCGCCGGCCCCGCTCACCTGGAACTCCTCCCGCAGCTGCGAGGAGTTGCTCTGCGGCTCGATCCTGACCATCTCCTTGTAGGTGGGTTTGAACTCGCCGGCCGGGATGCTGGTCTCTCCGCACAGGCAAGCTTCCAGGATGGCGTCGTGGATGAACACGTACTGCTCCTTTGCGGGAGCGAAGGCAAGGGGCTGAGCGGGCCAGCGCGCAGCGCAGGGCCTCCCTCCTCTCGCATGGGTGCCCGGTGCCCGCTCCTCTCCCGGGCAAAGCCAGGGCTGCTCCTGCCAGGCCGCAGGGTGCAAAACACCCAAGCAAGATGCCCTGCAACAAGCCAGAGCAGCAGGACAGGGCCCTGGGTTTCCATGAGGGCATCTGTGGTGGCCACTTGGGACATTGCCCTCTAGCTTGCATTTTGGGCACTAATTCACTAATTTGCTGTCAGGCCCTTCCTGCAGGACACAGAGAAGTGTCGTTGTGGCCAATGGACCGGGAGCCGCTTCCCCGCTCACCTCTGTCTGGATCATGTTGATCCTCCGCGAGCACAGGGTCTTCACGCAGTTGTAGATGTCCACGACACCCTCGCACTCGGCCATGTCCAACATGACGTCCAGGACGATGTAGCAGCCCGTTCTGCCCGTGCCGGCACTTGGAGGGGGGCAAAGAGGAAAGCAAACACGCTCCCGTATCCATAGAGCATCCGCGGGAGACAGAAACACGGCCGGGCGCAGCAGAAGGGCTGCGCCAGCCACTGCTCTGCTCTTTTTCTAGACTCTTTTACAGCACGATACTAATTTCTGGGGCTGCTGAATCACTCGCCGTGATTATCAGTGATTACAGGCTACGGGAGCTAATCACGCTCGCTGCTGCCGGCAAACGAATCCTGATGAGGCCATTGACAGGGGGAAATCAAACAGCAGATCCCTCTGGCTCATCAGCTCCTCCTCGTTCGCCCAGCAGAAGCGCAGGCCGAGCCCGGCGCGCTCCTGCCCGCCCGCCGGGCGCTGCTCTCACCTGCAGTGAATGACGATGGGGCCGGCGTCGGGCGGCGTGGAGGCCTTCACGCGGCGGATGAAGGCCAGCAGCCCCGTGGCGTGGTACGGGACGCCGTGCTCGGGCCACGACGTGAAGTGGAACTGCTTCACCTCGTGCCGCGCCGAGTAGCCCCTCTGCAAGGGAGGCAGCGTGAGCGCCCGGGGAAAACAGCTCTCGAGGCTGCGTTTGCGATGCACGGGGCCCCTCGGAAGAGCCACCGTGCTGGGCAGGTCCCCAATTTCACTGGCTTTTTGCTCAAAACGAGACAAGTGATTTTGCCTTCCCATTGATTAAGGGGTAAATTAACTGGCTCCATCCCTAGGTGCCAAGCTGGAAAGTAACTGCAACGTCCACACCAGGTGCCAGGAGAAGCAGTATCTCTCGTCCCCTTTTGCAATCACCTAGCCCTTACCTGGGATTTCAACACTTGCTTCCATCCCCACCAATCAACAACAGGGCTGGCGCCTGGGCGCAGCGCAGGGGGGCCCAGAGGAGGCCTTGGGGCATTTGCCCAGATGTGAAGGAGAGCACAGAGGTCCCGCCACCTCGGAGGGGGAAGCTGGGACCCCCGGGAACACGCTCCGTGGGCGCAGGGAGCTGGCAGCTTACCCGCTCCAGGGTGAAGGTGCGCACGGCGTATTCTGCCAGCGCCTCCGCCTTCACCAGGGTGATCTTGATGTCCCCGTACATCTCGGAGTCATCGGGCCAGTACTTGGAGCACTTCACCTGCAGCAAGCAAGCGGACGGGGCCGGGGTCTCGGGCACATGGGAAGGGGCTTCTCGCAGAGCCAGGAGGGACAGGGAGCGAGCGGGGGCCTTACCCGTCCCACCTCCACCAGCTTGGTTATCATCACGATGCTGGAGCAGTGCTCCTGCCACACCATGCGCCAGAAATCATACACCATCTCCTGCTTGGGACCTGCAGGCAGGGAGAGGAGGAGAACAGGATGGATGCAGGGCGAAGCCAAGCGGGGAGCCGAGATTCCCCGGCTCTTCCGGGGAACCAGCCACCCCTGTCCCAACGAGCAGCTGCCCTTCTCCCTCCTTGGAGCTGACGGCATGGAGCTGACTCACCTTGGGTGGCTATGAAGTGGTTGGACCTGTGGTAACCCTGCGAGGCAAAGGCAGATGTCAGGCGCCGTGGCACCAGGACCCAGCCCCACGGGACCTGCTGCCCACGGGGAGCGCGCGCGTCCGCCGCGCTCTGCAGCCCGGCTCGGGCCACCAGCTCCACCGGCTGCTGGTCATCGTTCCCCAGCACGGAGCATTCCCCGGCATCGGACCCGATTTCCAGCTGATCCCCGCTCAAACCAATCCCTGCCCAGTGCAAGCCCTCCAAAAACAGCACAAAGAGCAAAATCTCCAGGGACAGCAGAGCTGAATCCTCCAAAATGCAGGGAACCATCACTAGACATCCAAGGAGGGGTCACGTCCCACCAGATCTGGCACAATCTACGACCTTCATTCCTTTCCCTAGGGAAAATCCCCAGCTCCTGCTTTGGGTAAATTTGACTCTTTTCCCAAGCCACTGAAGCCGACCCAATGAAGATCCCCATTCCCCATCACCCTGGGGACTTCAGGCTTTGCCAAAGCTGTTCCAAGGAGAGCTAAACTTCCCCCTTCCCTGGGCTGCATCCACCTGCTCTGTAAATTTTATCCAGATGCTCTTTTACACCTTGCTGCCTGGTGCTCGGCACCTGGGAGGAGAACAGGAGCAGAGAGAGGAGCGGAGCGGCAAACCAGCTACTTACTTCACGGTTAATCCGGATCTTAACGATCCCAATCGGACACAGGTTTGAAAGAAAGAGATCAGAGACAGAGACATTAGTGAGACACAGCTCAAGAGACAGGTCAGAGCGTCGCCGCTGGCCGGAGCGGCTGCAGGGCAGGAAGGAGGTGCGGGGACAGGGACAGCCCGCCACAGTGGCAACGGGTCCCCTCTGCCAGGAGATTTCCCCATTAGGAGGAAAGGGTGGGATTTTGATCTCCGTGTTCAAGACCAGAGGGAGCCTCCTCTTCCTCGGCCAGTCAGATGCCAGCCTCCCTCATGCAGTGGCCCCTAGGAGCAGGGCCACTGCTGCCATCCCCTACATGGCACCTGGAGGCATTTATTTGGGGAGACCCCAGGATGAGCCCCTCAGAACTCACTTGCCCCACTGGGATCAGGAAAAAAACGTGAAAAAGAGGGGTTAAGAAAGCAAATAAGCAAAGAGGGGGACAGAGAGGAGCAGCACAGGAAAGGAGGGAGACTCCATGGGACAGCAACATGGAATAAGCAGGAACTGTGAAGCCAGACAGGCTCCATGCGCAGTGGGAGATGGGTTGGCTGAGGACACGCGCGGATCAGGCCTCATCCAGCCCGGCCTGGCCTCTCAGCCACCTTCCTGCTGCTGAGTTTTCAGGGACAGGCCCCTTCCCTCGCGAATTGCTCCACTGCACCTGGACCTCAGCAGCAGCCCGCGGATGTGAGCAGGCCCCAGCAGGCACCATCCTGACTTACGTCAATGTAGTTGGCGTTGATATAATCCGAATTGGGATCTCCCAGCAGCGGATGCAGCTTGACTCGGTGGCGGTCATCTGGAAAGCAAGCCCAAGGAGATAAGAGCATGGAGGGGCACGTGTGGTGAGGGGGATTACAGTCCAAGCTGGCGCTCCCATCTCTGCACCCACTGTCACCAAAGCTGCAGAACCAGAGTTGGCTGCACATGTTTTGGTGACCGATGTGAGGCACCCAGGCCTGGACACCCTGTGCTCAACAAGGATGTGTATGCTGCCCTTGACCAACTAAACCCAGTCACAGCTGATTCTTGCCATAGATCTGGTAGCTACCAAACAAACAAACTCCAACCCTTTAGGAGGCTTCTCAGGTTTGGAGGGTTTTGTAGTTTCTGCTGAAGACACTCACACGTTGACACATGATCCTGTCTCCCCTTCGTCTTGTCTTTCTTCTTCGAAGCATCCCAGCCATCAAAGAAGCTCTGAGAAGAAGAGAAGCCTGTTGTGGCCTCAGGTGGCAAGGGGGTCTGCCCCGTGTCACAGCTTGTGCCTACCTGCCCTGAAGCCCCGGCCATGGGACACCACCTACCAGCTCCATGCTTCTGTTGCATCCACAAAATGCCCCATTTTCCAACAAAATACATGCTGCTTGTTTTTTCCTGGTTCCTTTTTTTGTTTTTTTTTTTTTACCTCTCAAGCCCCTTCTCTCCCCAGCACAGAATAGGTTTGTGTGCAATAACAGCAACATTCATAGATTGGCGTAAGAGGAGGAAAGTGGAAGGAAATTACATGTTTTCTCCCCTCCCATAATATCTGAGTGCTTTCAAATGACTAGTTCCAAGAACATACAGCAGCTTTTCAAGGAGCACTAATGATTATAGCCAGCCCTGGTTTGTCCAGTACATAAAAGGGGAAAAAAAAAAGCTCCGGCACTTGAAACAACTAAGCATTAAACAGTAATTTCACTGGGAAATTTCAATTGCCAGACCTGTGGGGACACCAAGGAATCAGGAAATCAACCCTGCAGGATGCACTGCTGCAAAACCTTGGAAATCACCTCGCTCCGTTACGAGGGCTCCAGCCTGTGAGGGTGGGATGGGCACAGTGCACTCAGTAATTCTTGGAGGTGACTTCTTCCCCTTGGAAGAGATGGGATCACCCTCTCCCACATTCCCTCCCTGGGGTTTCCCTGCTCTTGGATGCTGCCAGACTATTGAAGAGTCCTTTTATCACAGGACAAGCGTCTCGGAGAGCGGGAGGACTTGGCAGCGACCTGACGCTGCCAAGTCACGCGGGACCTGTCCCTCCTGCCTCCAACCAGGACGCCGGTGTCCGATGCTCTCACCTCGTACTCCTGCTTGAAGCCGTAGCCTTCCGCCGTCTTCATCTGGTTGATGTGCTGGAGGAGGTCGGCGACGCGCACGGCCGGGTGCAGCTGCCCCGTGTGGTAGGGAGAGCCTTTGCGGCCGCAGGGCCGGCGGGGCGAGCCGCCCAGCAGGCTGCTGGACTCGGTGACTGCGCTGCTGCGCTGCTCGCCTGCGGGGGGGACAGCAGACGCGGCGCCTTGGAGAAGCGAAGGGCTGCTGACGCCAGCACGTCGGCAAGCGGGCCAGGCCCAGCGAGCTCCCTGCGAGCCCAGGGCATCGCCCACGCGGCGCTTCCCGCGATACAAACCTAGCAGGGCCCATTAGAGCCTTTCAGGGGAGCACCATCTCTTCTGCCCATCTCCTACCTCCATCACAGCAGAGCTCTTAGAGAGCCCATGGAAAGATTTTCAAGGGGTTTACGCGCTTATTTCCCATCGATTCGAGCACTTGCAACCAGCCCCCTAAAAGCCAGGCACACAAACACCTTCCGCTTCAAGCCCGGGCTTCCAAGATTGCATCGCTGAGGAATCCAGTCCTGATGGTTAGCTCTACCAGCGCCTCATTTCTAGCACTGAGGTAAATTGACTTTGTTGCTGTTTAATGGGGTAATTCTCACAGATTTTACCTGGTTTACACCTCTGAGATATAATCTGCCATGGAGATGGAGGTAGAGTTGGATCTCACCCGCCCTGGTCCTGCAGGGTCCCACACAGCCACTGCCTGGCCAACACACGCTGTCCTTAACGCCGGGTTTGTACAAACCCTGATGCTTTCTGTGGCTGCCACGGGACGCAGCTGAGGCTGTTCTCCCTTGGCACCAGCCCCTGGCTGTTTGCTGACAAGCACTTTCACCCTAAGAGGAAATGCTGGGTGCTCTTGCACCCACAACACCTCCCAAACCACCCTTGCCAGCAAACCAGCCTGAAGACACCCTTTGAGAAGCCCTGATAGGATCTAAGTGAAAGATTAGTAAATAATTGAAAAATAATACACTGATGTAGGTGCATAAACAGGAGGAAAAGTTGCCCTCCAGGCCTCTGTTCTGCATGAGCCAGTGCAGGGCATCGGGTCCAGGCAGCAGCGGGTGCAGGAGACGCGCGTGAGCAGCACCTCGCAGCTACGGGAACAGCTGCTACCAGCATATGGCTGCAACCAGGCACTGAACGAGTTATTTTACAGCTAAATCAGTCCAGAGACGCATACTCCGGTGGGTGTTAAATATCAGTCTGCCTCTAGGAACACCAGGAGTCTTTAACCCTTCAAATTCCAGGGCTGCCTGCAACAGCAACAGGAAGGCTGGTGTCCTGGAGCCAAACTGCTGCAGCTGGGGCTTACCCCAGCTCCAGGATCCAACACTGGAGCCGGTGTCTGCATCTGAAAACTGCAGACCTTGCAGCGAGCCCATGCACAGAGCGACCTCTTCATTCGTGAGTGTGGAGCTGTGCCCGGGCCGGAGGAGCCGGGCAGCCCCGCGTGCTGGCGCTTACCCCGGACGCTGTAGTTGTGTGTGTCCATGAAGGAGAGCCCGAGCCTCTCGTCCTCCTGCAGGGTGCTCTGGTCCGTGAAGCTCCTGTCGACGGCGCTCATCATGTGCGTCTTCTCGTGCCGGTAGTTGATGGTCGCCTTGGCCATGTTGACGGGTTTCCTGTGGGGAGGGAGGTTGCAACGGGCGTGAGTGTAAGTGCAGCTGAGCTACTGGGGCTCCCACATCCCCCCCGGGCCCTCTGCAGCTCGGCCTGTGCCAGGGACCGGGTTTGGAGTCTGCTGAAGCATCCCCAGCTCTGAGGCCTCCCGCTCCCAAATCCCAGGGCTGATCCTGCTCCCAAGGTGGGGAGCACTGCAGACATCAGCCCCCCTGACTGATGTTCCTCGTCCCTCTGAAGCGCCCAGCAGGGCCAGGGTCCTGCAGGATGTGGCCCAACCTCCAAACCAGAGCCTCCTGCTCGGCTCCCGCAGCAGAGCCGCACTGGGAACTGGACCCCTCTCTTGCTCCTGGTGCCTTGGAGCTCTCACTAGTTCAGCAGCACCTTCCTCGGGCCAAAGAGGGCCTTAAAACACCCTTGAGGGAGAAAAGCCTTTTCGGAGGAGCAGAGCAAGGAGGGAAGCAAGGGAGGAGAAGGACAAGGAAAGCTACTCACGGGTAATAGGAATAAGAATAGTAGTCTCTCCTGGCAAGCGTGCAAACAAAGAGCAGAAATTGCATAAGCAGCTTTTCTCCAGGCCCAGGAACAACCCAGGGGAGGCTCAGGGGGCTGCCAAGGGCTGGGGATGGCGCACAGGGCAGGCGGAGCAGGGAAAGCAGGAGCTTCTGGCAATTTTGGGAGCTGGAACTGCAAAGAGCTCTCCAAGGTGCAGCCACTTCGCAGAGAGTGGGCAGCCCAAGCGCATCCCGGGGAGCCTCCAGGTCTCCGCATCCTTTATTACAGGGAATGTTGGAAAGATGCCAAGAGCCCAACCCTGGGCAGCAGCAAAGCTGGGAGGGCCGCGGCAGCTTCCGCTGGGTGGAGCGAGGCCGGAAGGCGGCGGGAGCCGCGGAGTTGCACGTGCCGCAGCTCTGCCCCACTGCTTCTCCCTCCCGCCGGCTCTTCCTTTGCTGTCCCAGAACGGCTCCCGAGCCCCGCGAGGGGAAGGCGCTTTAATTGCTGCCCTTCTGTCCCCCTGCTCCGAATGCTGCCCTCAGGGCCCGCGTGCCGAGCGCACGGAGCCTTTCGGAGCGGCAGCCGCTTCCCGAGGCCCCCGGCGCCAAGTGTCCCAGAAAGCCCTTGCCGTGCCTCCCTGGCGGGGGCTCTTGACCCACTTCACTTCCCAAATAAAAGCACTAGGGTGACGGGTATCCAGGCAGACAACATCACTAGCACCCCCCACAAAACATGCTCTTCCCCGCCAAAGGAAAGATCTGATTTTGGCAGCGTGCTGGGATTGGGGAGCATCCGGCCCGAGCCCGGCAGCCGTCCTGGGAAAACAGCCCTTCCAGCCGGGCAGAACTTGCAGCTGCCGTTTCCAAGTCACAGGGAGCAGGACACGACCCGGCTGCCTGGGATTCCTTTCTGCAGCAATGCCAGAGGAGCTGGGAGGTTCCCCTCTGCCCTGGGCGACCAGGGAGCAGGACACCAAGGAGCATCACATTCCTCTGCTCCCTCCTCCACTGCCAGCAGCTCCTCGCTGCCATTTTCCAACCCAGTCCAGACACTGTGGGCTGGACCCGAGTGCCAGCAGGACGCTCACTCCCATAGGGATGGTGCTCCCCATCTCCGGGGAAGGGCAGGGGGCTGGATATAACTCCCTGTAGTCCCGGCCTCTTCTTGGGGCCACTCTTCCCAGCCAGGAACGCTTTCATCCATCCAGGCTTGGAAGCAGCTCTGGCCACAAAGCGCCGGATCCTCCACTTGGGCTCTCCGGGAGAGGGGGATTCTGCAAGTGACTCTCGCGGGTCGGATGCTACCGCTCCGCACAGATGGAGTCTGAGCTGCCTTCCATGGCCGGCGGCCACATAAAGCTTCTTGCAACACCTTCTTCCAGAGCAACAACGCGGGCACCCGTGAGTGTTCTTAGAGGCGAGAGCCTCTTCATCCTCGCGCCTGCCCCAGCACAAAGCAGCGGGAGGAGATGTGCGGAGCAGTGGGAAGCAGAGGAAGAGGAGGAGGAGGAGGATGCCCAGCCTGCCCTCGGGCTGCTCCCGGCTCACAGACGGATGCTCCGGGCTGTCTCCTGAGCTCCCCTGGAGCGCCCGCGGTGACACCGGCACAGCCGGCTGCTCCAACCCCACAGGCGAGGGCTGCATGAAGAGCCCGGTGTCTCTGACGTGGGCAGCACCCCCCGCTCGCGGCATCGCCCTTTGCGCCAAAAAACGGCTGCAAAAAAGAGACGCCTCCAGCTCAGCGCCCAAACACCCTATGGAGCAAGCCGGCGTTTCCTCACCCTTTCCGGATGATGACGATGATGGCTCCCAGGAGGATGATGAGGACCACGAGGCCACCGGCACAGATGCCCAGGATGAGGCCCATCTCCTCGGAGTGCTGCGACACCTCCAGGGGACGCTTGCTCTCCTTGCAGGCGGCTGCCGGGGAAAGCACACGGGCAGGAGGGTCAGCTCAGCTCCGACCTACTTTCTTCCCGATGGGATTTGGCACATTCCTCTCCCACTCCCTGCACGGCCCCAGGGAGGGAGCCAAGGAAGCTTAAACCCAAGTGGCAACATCAGATCGCATGCCGAGAAAACAGCGGAAAATACATACGTGAAGGGAGGCAGGGGTGGAAAAGGGCATCTGCACCCGGCCTATGTGGGCTGCCGTGCACAGGAACGTGCCCTAAATGCACATATATCCCCTCCCCTCCGCGCACACGGAACGGCATGTGCCAGCACACGGCACTCGAGCACCTTGTCCTCCCAAGGGTCCGTGGGAGGGTTAAAATACCCTAAACCCGCCGAGCTGATCCGTCCCGGTCACACATCCCACCTCGCCGCTGCTGCCTCCAGACAGGCGGCTCCGCGGATGGCTCCAACACAGACTATTAGCAGGTTATAAATCCCCTTTTGTCCCTCTTTAATATTCTGCACTATTCAGACAAGCATTTATACTCGTTTTTCATTTCCCACTGAGCCAGGACTTTAAGTCACTTTATTGCTTTTTCTTTTCCCCTCTCCCCATCCCCAAATCCAATAGGGAGCTAAATATATCTGGCAAGTAGAAGGAGTTTTATTAAATATACAAGGCCACGACTTTCAAACCCTGCGAAAGATGAAAGCAGGAGGTTTATTTGGTGAAAAGCCCAGAGCAGCAGGACAGGCTGGTGGTTTCCCCTCTCCCCACACTGGGTCACGCTCCCCTCCCGTCATGGTCCCACTGCCCTCCGGAGACACCAGACGGATTGACCATCATCCCCTCGTCCCACCTTCTGCAAGGCCAAATGCAAGTGTGTCCGTGTCCAGATCCAACACCCGACACAACCAACATCCGACGGAGTCCCCAGGAGTCACCACAAAAGATCTGGTGACAAAAGCCAGGGCCTCACCCCACGGACTCTCACCTTTGCGGGCGATCCGGACGCAGTTCAGTCGGGTTTCCTGAGGGAAAAGAGACAGGGAACGTCAGGGCTCAGCCATGTGCTGCCATGAGCAAGGGCGCTCGGACACAAACCTGCTTTGCAGGCGCTTTCTACCACTAATGCCAGGCAGTTTCCGAGAACTCCCACTTCCCGACCTCCCGAGAGATGGACCAGGCTCTCGCCGCTCCCGCGGGGACTCACCCCTTTCAGGTTGCTCATGGCCTGCAGGTAGATCACATAGGCCTTCTTGGGCTCCAGCGGCGGGTTCCAGTAGCCGCTGTAGGTCTGGTTGTCACCCACGGTGAAGGGTTTCGCTTCGGTGAGGCTGCTGGCGGGCAGCTCGGCTCCGAAGTAGTGCACGGAGCCCCGGGACACGGCATCGTCGAAGGTCAGCGGCACCGGGAAGCACTCCGGCCCGCCCAGCTCCCGCCTCATCTTCTTGGGCCTGTCTTCCTCCACAATGACCTGGTAGGTGCTGGGCAGGGGGTGAGAAACACGGGAGCTTGACCACAAGGGACTGTCATGATGCTCCTCCACACTCAAGACGGTTCCTTCCTCCTCTCCCCGCTACCCAGCCCCATCACTCCAGCACCGGGATGAGGGGGCCAGGCACAACATCCTTTTGCTGATGTGGGAATGGGCAAGCGAAGGAAGCAGAAATAAAACCTCCTGCTGCAGTGCCTGGAGATATCTGGCCAGCCTGGGGGTCCTCACTTTCTGCCAGCCACATCATGCTCTAAACATGCCCATCCCACCCCAGGGAGCTGCCCAAATCTCCCACTGGGCTTCTCAGGGAGCTGCCCAGAGGTGACATCGGGTCTGCTGAGCCTCTAAAGCCTCCTTCCGTGGGAAGGGATTTGCCCGGCTGTGGTTAGAGGAGCCATCACGAGAAAAAGAGGTCACTTCCCACACCCCCTTGTCTCCAGTTGGGAACAGCAGGGCCATGGAGGGCTCGGAGCCCATAGCAGGTTCTCCCAGAAAAGGACACGCGGCCCAGGATGAGCCACTTGCACCCAGAGGGCCTTCCCGGAGAGCCCGTCCTCAGCACCTACCTGATGGGAGCGCCCCTGCCCTGGGCCGGCCGCAGCAGCACCGTGATGGTGCTCTCCGACTCGCTCAGCGGCGACGGCACGTCCGCGTAGTCGAAGGCAGGAGCTGCGGAGGGAGTAGGGGCAGCAGTGAGCCCCGGGGACGGGCCCGGTGCTCACCGACACATTTCGGTGCTTTTACCGGTGAGGGGGACACGATTGAGCCCGACTCCTCCCTGCTGGAGGCCCCTGCAGCCCCCTCCCAAGCCGGGGCTATGCGGCCTGTTTTGTCTCCGGGTCGCTCGCCCTCCAGCCGCAGAGCCTCCAAAATAGGGATGCTTTGGGAAGCAGGAGATCTGTCCTCGGCAGGACCCGAAGGCTCCTGCCCCAGGGAACAGCAGGCCCGGAGCATCCCCCTCCTGACATGGGCAGCGTGCCCCAGCCGTGGCTAATTAGCAGCCACTGGGGGCTGCCTCGTGCTGCTCCGCAATTTCTGTGCCCCTGTTAGGAAGCATCTCAGCCCATTTGGTGCTCTTAATAGCTACACAGCGGACATTAGCAAACAGCCTTAAGTGCTGTGTGGCTTGTTAATGAAGGCCAATTAATCCCTCATTTGCACATTTAAGTCTCAGGGTGTTGCACAGCTGCAATGCTCCCAGCAAGACTGCGGTCGTGTGCTGGGACCATCCCAAATCCGGAGGAGGTTCATCCTCTAGCAGGTTCATCCTGCAGCTCCAGCTGCAGGATCCTCCCCAGGGCCATTTCAAGGAAGCTGCAGGGTGGACAGCCTCCGGTCTGGCCTCGGAGGCAGGGAATGTGTTTGGCAGAGGTGTCCGTGGGCATCCCGGGAAGGGGCAGGCAGTGCACAGGCCCCACGGTCTGCTCTGAAGGGATTGCTGCTGCCATGTGGTACCCACACGGAGCAGAAGTCTCCTGCACTGTCACACCTCCCCATTCCCAAGGACTCGTTAAGGTTAAATGAGGGTTTGATCCCAACACGCATGGCGAGCGGATGGAAGCCAAGCTCCAGCTCCAGCCTGCAACAAGGGCCCTATAGCCCCTAAACGTGCAGGGCTGATGCCAGGGCCGTTCCTCCGAGCAGCAGGGAACTAGGCAAAGCCAGCCTCCTCTCCTGCCCCTCTTCACCCCCCAGGAGGACACAGAGCCCTTTGGACCTACCGGAGATGTTGGTGGTGATCTCGGTGAGCGCCGTCTGGCCAAAGCCCTTGCCCGTGCGGGCCCGCACCGAGAAGAGGTAGGTGGTGCCGGGGTGCAGGTTGGAGAACACGTGGTAGGTCTCGTTGCGCAGCTTGGACACGGTGCGTCGCGGGCCGGGCACGTTGACTGCAGGGTCGGAGGACTCGATGCTCTGGTAGCTGATCTGCAAGGTCAGCAGAGAGCATCACGCGGTGGCAGGACCAGAACAGACAAGGAATTACTGCAGTGGGTAGGGAAAGGACTAATTCAGAGGAGCGGAGAGGTCCTGGAGCAGTCGCAGAGGCTGGGGTACGTGCCCGGCTTGGGCCCTTCAGGCTGAATAAAAGCAGAGGCTCAGCTGGAAAGCCACCGCTGGGTAATCAGAGCGACCCTGAAAGGATGACCCTGAAATAAAGAGCACGCGGCCCTGGCAGCTCCATCCCATGGACACGAGCGCCGGGCTCAGGACCTACCTCGTACTGCGTGATGAGGCCGTTGGGCTCCACCGGCTCCTCCCATTTCAGGAAGATCATGTCCTCCAGCGGGGTGAAGGTGAGCGACTCCGAAGCGATGCCTCCGGGCACTGGGAAAGAGGGAAGGAGAGCACTCAGCGGAGGGGCAGAAAGCCTCTGAGATCCATCAAAAGCTCCTGCTGGCCTCACATGTGTTAAAAATAAACCAGAAATACACACGTAGACCCACATGGCTCCCATACGAGCCATGACCACCAGGTCCAGCACAGAGTGACCAAGATGATTAAGGGACTGGAGCATCTATCATATGAGGAAAGACTAAGTGAGCTGGGTCTGTTTAGTCTGGAGAAGAGAAGGTTGAGAGGAGATCTGATCAATATGTATAAGTACCTGAGGGGAGAATGTAGGGTGGAGGGGGCCAAACTCTCCTCAGTGGTGGCCAGTGAGAGGACAAGGGGCAATGGGTATAAGTTGAAACACACGCAGTTCCATTTCCACATGAGGAAGAGCTTCTTTGGTGTGAGGGTGCCAGAGCCCTGGCACAGGCTGCCCAGGGAGGCTGTGGAGTCTCCTTCTCTGGAGGTCTTCCAAACCTGCCTGGATGCCACCCTGTGCCACATGCTCTGGGTGTCCCTGTTTGAGCAGGGGGCTGGACTAGATGATCTCTAGAGGTCCCTTCCAACCTCAACCCTTCTGTGACTCTGTGATCATGAGACCAAAGCACCCTCCAACCCAAGGGGAGCCACCAGAAAAAAATAAAAATAAGGATAAAGACCAAGATATGGAGAACCAAGAGGATGAAGCAACAGCAGGGCCCAAGGACATTATTTACAGTTATTAGCCAGGCTCTTCTCAAGTTGCCTGCTTGGAAGCAGCCCTTTGGCTGCTTTGCACTTCGGGTCGCACTCCTATTCCGGCCGAGGGAGAGCGATCGCCTTCCGCGCTCTTCCCACCATGCAAATACACAATTCCCACCTGATTTACAAGCTAATTTAATGAGAGGCACCGTGTCCTACACGTGTTCACGAGACAGTTATTAACTTCACGGAGAATTACAGCGAGCTTTAGGGCAGCAGCAGGCACACACACACACACATTTCTCCTCCACCTCCCTTGGACGCCGCTTCAAGGCTTTGCAGGTGTTTTTTGTAGCCCACGATGCAGGGGGATGCGGCCACTAAATCCTGCCTGGGTGCAGACACAGATTCCTTTTCTGACAATCTCTACGAAATGCCCCTAATTTTCAGCATTTTGGGGAGGTGGCCAAAACACATCCCCAGGGCGCACGGGCACAGCCACAATTCGGGCATCTTTTAACTCCAGAGAAAGCTCTGCCCGAGCTGGAGGCGTCAGCACATCGGATGAGCTCCTGCAGCACCACCGGATTTTGGTGTTAAAACCTGCAAATCCAGTATCAAAAACACCCAAGACTTAAAAAGAAATGATTTGCTGCTGGTACAAGGGCAACTTCTACCAATATATTTGGCAGAGCAGAGCTTCATCTCCAAAAGAGACATAAAGGTCTACTAAAAAAATATTATAATGCCACCAAAATTTAGATACAACAATGAATGCACCGGGCAAGAAACAGAGCACTGGGCACAATCATTAGCTAATTTAGATAAATTGGGCAGATATAATTGACCAAATATCCCTACACGAGGTGACTTATTGATCCCTCTGGAGACAGACGGCACGTGCCGGATCGAGCGCGATCCAAGGGGAAGCGGAAAGCCGGAGTTAATCAACGTATAGTGGGAAAACAGCTGGAGCGATTATAGCAGAGCAAGAACCAACATGTGCAGTGTCCCCATGTGACGCGGAGGCAGCTGGAGCGCACGCGGCTCGGGGAAACCAGCCGGGAAATCAGAGCTGGAAAATAAACACCAGGGAGCCGGGGGCCGCGCGGTCAGGCGGCCTTGGGGACAGGGAAGCACCAGGACGGGCTCTGCCTTTGCTCCTGTTCCAGCTGCACGAACGTCCAGCTTCTCCCTCAAAGCAAAACCCTGGGATAAAACTGGTGCTTCCCTGGAAAACCGAGCCGCCGTGGCTGTGTTGTCTCGCGGGATGCTCCGACGTCCCACTAAGTGGGCATATCCCCCATTAACTGCCCTCAGGGCCAAACCCTCAGCAGTTACCAGCTCAGGCACGCTGGTTGCTAATGCTGGGTGCTGAAAAGTGCCTTGGAGACAATTACTGGAGCCGGGAGCACACGGAGGAGGTTTTGCCCGGGAACAACAGGGTGATTCCTCTGCACCGTCACGCTCGTTCCCGATTCTCGCTTGGCTGGGTCAGGCGGAAGGCGCTCCGGAGCCGCAGGGAGGCTCGTGCCGAGGGCAGCTCATGCGCACGACCGTTCCCAGCACCAGGGTGGGCAGCACCCTTCCCACCCGGCCCCACGCGCAGGAGGAGGGCCCCGCGCGGCAGCCGGCGCCACCCGTCACGAGGCTCCTTCCCCTCCTGCAGCTCCCAGCTTGGATGGGCGCTGGGATGCAGCAGCAGAATCACAGGCTGAGGCGGAATCACAACCTGGATGGGACCTCTGGAGATCATCCAGCCCAACCCTCGTCCTCGAGCAGGGTCACCTAGAGCATGTTGCCTAGGTGGCTTTGGAGTATCTCCAAGGATGGAGACCCTGGGGCCTCATCCATCCTGCAGCGTGGCCAGGAAGAGGAGAGGAAAACCCGCATCGCTCCCACTAGGAGCAGCGTCGCCAGCGAAGAACCAGGAAGGGCATAAAGCCTCGTTAAGCAGAGCCCGAGCTCCATGGACGGCCGACGTTACCTAAACCTATTTATTATTATTATAAACCATGCCTATTTATTACTTCAACCATCACTGGGCTTTGACCCCGCAGTGCCGGACGAACAAGGAAACCAGCAGCACTTGGCAGGGCTCCAGCCAGGAAGGCAGGAGCTTCCTGCCACCCAGCACAGCTCTCGCTCCGAGCGAACCGCGCGGACTCACCGTCCTCGTCCGTCTGGAACACCATCTCCTTGCCCTCCTTGCGGCCCTCGGGGTTGGAGAGGATGAGCTTCACGTGGATGTTCTTGTAGGGCAGCAGGTTCTTGATGGTGTAGCGGTTGACGCCGCGCTCCATCTTGGCGCACTCGCGGAAGGTCTGGTTGTGGCTGGAGCCCACGAAGTAGCGGTAGCAGAGCGAGACCGTGAACGTGTGGCACCGCGTCACGTTGTAGCCCAGCGGCTCCCACTGCAGCGTCAGCTGCCGCGCCTGGATCTCGGAGAACGCGAGGCCCTTGGGGGCCCTCATGGGCTCTGCCGAGGGAAGAGGGATGGGGACACATGAGCAATACATGGAAAATAAGCAGTAGGATGGATCCACAGCTGGCAAAACTACCCAGGTTGGCATCCCCATCTCCTTCCCACCCAAAGGAGGGAATTCCACTCAAGGAGCATGGCCAGCGCCCCAACAGGGCTCTGCGGACAGCATCCAACCCCTCATGAACAGTCTAGCGCCACGGGAGCACTAGCCTTTCCACGGAGCTCATGCCAGGTTCCGGGAAGACAGACGGATGCACTCGTTGGGAAGAGGTTTAATTAGTCAGCATAATCGGCATCATCAGAGGTGTGATTTAATGAGGAGCCGGGCTCCTAGGCCGGCCGCTGTACGAGCAGTGGTGGGAAGGACGCCCTGGAGGCTGAGGTTGCCCTCGTGGGATGAATCCCGCAGCGGGACTCGGCAGAGCCCAAGTGACACCTGACACCCTGCTGCAGCTCGGTGACACGCGCCCCACGACCCCGACACCCCCGCAGGGCCAAACATGTCCCCTGCAACCATCCCTCCCAAACCACCCCCTGCAACCATCCCTCCCAAATCACCCCCTGCAAACATCCCTCCCAAGCACTGCAGATTCCCCCCGGATTCGCGCCGCGGGGGAGTCCGCACAGCTCAGGGCTGTGAGGGATGCTTCCCAGCCCGACTGCATGGGCCAAGGACAGCCGCTCGTGCCCAGGAGGTGCCGCCCCGCAGGGACAGGGACGGAGCCGGATCCTGCCGCGGGGCCCGGCCAAGGCGCCCGCTCCCGGGCTCCTCCACGCAGCCCCGCACACCTCAGCGCTCGCTCCTCACCCAGCGCCTCTCGGCACCGAGTTTCAGCACCCTGCAGATGGGGAACACGACAAGGAAGGGATGAGGCTCATCCATGCGGCCTGTTGTAGCCAGACATGGAGAGGAGCCTTTGGAAACCTTCCTGGGGGAACACAGCGAGCCAGCTCCCGGCGCTGCCGTAACCAGGAGGGCAGATTGGCACCATCACCACCCAGGAGGCCCACGGCTCATCGGCTGCCGCCCGCAGCCCCGGCTCTCGGGCAAACACGGCGCCGTCCTCCTCGCCCCGGGCACCAGGGGACACTGCCCTGCACAGCCAGCTCGGAGCCCAGCGCCCACGGAGAGGCTTCCAGCCGAGGGGACACATCCCGCCACCGCGGAGGCAGGAGGCCGCTTGTTGGCTGCCCACCTGGGAACTGCAACGTCCTGGTCACCGCTTTCACGCGGCCGTGCTCAACGGCGGCCAGATCCCGGGGGGCAGCTCTTTTCAGGATGGGTTTGCAGGCCTTGTGCCCTGAGCAACCCTCTCCTCGGCAAGACCACAGAGTCCTGATGCCCGTGGGCATCTCTCACGTTGGGCTGCAGAGGGGGGTCTCCATGGGGACGCGGTGCTGCCTCAGCGCCTGGGCTGCGGGGCCAGGCTCCGAGCTCCCCATCCCCTCCTCGCTCCGGAGCGTTTCAATCAGCAGGGACAAGCAGAGACGCGGCAGCCCCGGGCCAGCGCGCGTGCACTCGCAGAGCGCTCGGCTAACGAGGCTAAAGAGGACGTCTGCAGGCGCCAGCACGGCGGGACAGAGCCGTGCGATCAGCGGTACCGGTACCGAGCGCGGCGGCATCGCAGTGCCGGGAACCTCCGCGGGCTCCCAGCCGCCCGGCGCGGGATGCTGCGGCACATGGCAACTCCGCAGCTCCTCCCAGGGAGGATTTAGGGCTGCATCCCATGCAGGCAGGCGCCATCGGAGCAATAGCGATGCTGCAGGGAGGTGCTGCGCTTTAGGAGGGAGGGCGTTTTGCAAAGCAAACAGGACTGGGGACATTATTTTATCTTTATTCAGGAAGACAGGAGTGCGGGTCTAGAGCCCTCAGACCCGGAGTCAGCTCGCCCAGCTCACAGGCCTCGCTGGAGCCCCACTCCAAGCAGGGGCAGCCAAGGGCCAGCCCCAGCTCCGTAACACACACGCAGGGAGCGACTCCCACATCTCACGAGCGAAAACGATGCAACGTCAACGCAGCACCAAGGCCGTTCCCCTGCCCACCCTAGGGAGGCCACCGGGGTGCTCAGAGGGACCTGGAGCTGCCCAGGCCACCTCCCCAAAAGAGGCTCCCAACGCCCCTGCGATGAGGGAGCTGAGGCTGGGAATGGGGAGGACTGATGGGAAGAAGGCCACGCCAGTGCCTTGCTCTGCTCCAAGGACACCCTCGCTCTTCCACAAGACACTGGAGCAATTATCTGGACAACAGAAAAAGAAGCTCATTCCCAGACAGGCTGAACATTTCCACTGCTACCAGAGCACAAGGACCCCCTGGATTTAATTTATAAACCTCAGTTAAAGCCACCAACAGGCTCCAGGGCTGAAGGAGGGAAGAGAAACCAAAGAGCAGGATCCCGGCCTGTCATTACGGCTGCAATCGCTGCCTGGCTGATGGCAGTTAAGGGCCTTGTCATAAAAACTGCTCCCGCGCCGGGCCGAGGAGCACAACAGTCACGTCCGTCCTCAGCATCTCCCCTTCCCTCCGGCGTTGGTCAATTAGGGGCAGTTCAGCCCTCCGCACATCAAGGCAGGCGGCTGCCATGTCCTGCCCGAAGCTCCTGCACCAGGAGCCTCCTCTCACCCGTGCAACCACAGCCAAGGCAACGGGGGCAGAGCGGGTCCTCCGAGCCGGACACCCCGCCAAGGCCGGGCGGAGAAGAGTTTGAGGGCAAATCCCCAGAGAGAAAGGGATTCACCAGCGGCCCCACATCCCCAAAGAAATACTGTCACTGTCAGGCATGGAGGGGGCACCAGGTATGCCACACTAACTCGCAGCCGGCTCCAGATGTGCCAGAAGGAAGAAATTCCAGATCCCTTCTCGCCACTGTTCTCCAGGATGGGAGCAAGGAGCCTTGGCAGGGACAGGGGGTGCCCCGAATCAGCAAACACCCCCAGGGCGCCGCCCCGAGCCCCGTGTGGCGCTGGCTCTGCCACAGCAGGTTTCGGAGCCTCCCCTGGCTGCCAGGGACATGTCCAGCCCGGGGTAACATTCACAACATGCGAGTGACCTGCACACGTGCCAGCGGCCCTGCCTCTGCACGGGCACCAGGGCATGGGGACTCCCCCACGTACATCTCCAGAGCAGCATCTGTCAGAGGCCAAGGGACATTTCAAGGTGTGTGGCAGCTGTTGCCCTTGCCGCTGCACTCATCCAGCTAGGATGGAGCTGTATCCCAGACCAGCCCTGCCCTCCAGGCAGGAGGCCCAGCCGGGGCAGAGCGGCCTGGGCACCACCACCTCCCACCAGCCACATGCTCCGAGACCCCTAAAACAGAGTGGCTGTGCTCAGGGACACCAGTCCCTCCCAGCAGCCCTGGGCTCTAGAGATGCCCTGAGCTAGACCATGCCTAGGACCTGTGGTCCGGGCCCAGGCTGGGGGTCAGCAGCTGCATCTCCTGCCCTCCTCCAGCCTTCACCCACCACAAGGGACTAAGAGCAGCAGCAGATGCAGCTGATAAGCGTGTGCATCACGTCTGTGCGTTTCTGCACCAAGGTCACGCTACTTTGTCCAGCAACCATTGACACTGATTAGCAAAAATGGGCTGTCAGTGGGAGCCCCTGGGCTCGAGCTGGCGCTTTGGGGCGGGTGGACGCGGCTGCTCCACGCACGCCGCTCGCGTGGGCTCAGGACTGGGCTGCCGCCTGCGCTCCCGCCGCCCTCCAGCCAGCCCCACCACAACAGCAGCTTTGCTAGAGGTCCCCCCGAGATACCCGACACTCATTTGGGCTGCTCAGCCCCACACCTCTTCATCGAGCAGGGCAACAGGGAAGTCTGCCCGAGTGGGGCTCTGCTGAGCTTGGAGAGGAGAGAGGGAATCCCACCGTGAGGCCGCGCTCACCGGCAAGGTCCCAGGCCATGCTGATGCTCTCAGAGTCTAGTTAGTTATGGCCCAGCCTCCAGAGACACCGACCCCTCCACTGGGCTCCTCCAGCCCTGCCAGTCCCAAAAAGGATCTTGGTTGGCATCTCCTACACCAGACTCTTCTAGAAGCAGAGCTGCTTTTGGTCCGGACGCAGCAGCCCTTCGTCTCCACTTCCCAACAGAGCGAGGACAAGGAAGGTCATGAGATGGCAGAGCTGCCCAGCTCTCTTCCCTTCTCCCATCCAGCCTATGGACTAGGAAAGCAGCACACAAGCTTTAAGCACCAGTTTGTATTGCCTGGAGTTGTGAGAGGTCTGAAACAGGGCTGTTCCCAGTCTCACCAGGACCTCCCTGCTCCGATTTCCTGCGGACACCCCTCGAGACACCAAGGGAGCTCCCTCCAAGCCACCAGGAACGCTGATGCCCTTGACCAACACACGGCCACACCACGCACAGCCCACAGCTTGGGGCAGAAGGACGCCAGCGTGACACCCACCTGCACACTTGGTCCTGCTGATGAGGGGCGGCCCTGGCTTGCCCGTGCCCCCTTCCCCAGGGCGAGTGAGCAACACGCTGATCTCATACTCCGTGTCGGGATCCAGGTGCCAGAGCTTGTAGGTCTGCATGTTGACGGCGTGCACCTCCGACCAGGGCCCCGAGGTCATGCGGTACTCGATCTCCTTGCGCACGATGGGGCCGTCGCCGATGATGGAGTTAGTGTTGAGCTGGATGATGAGGTAGGTGGAGCCCGCACGGAGCAGCTGCGGGGGAGCGATGGGCGTCGGGGGCTCTGGAACAGAGGGAAGACGTGATGGATTCAGCATTCCCCTCTGGAAAGGGCTAAGCTCCCAGACCCTGCCCTTCCTTGTCTATCTGGGCCTTGCTAACACCAGGTCAGATACGATCTCTCTCAACCAGAGGAGACTCCTTGACTTCAGCTGTACTTTTACTACTAGAAACCATCTTTCTGTCTGGGCACAACTGAGACATTGGCAGTCTCTCTTCTCTTACAACCTGATCACCTTCACACCTCAGGGCACAACAGGATAAACTGATTTCATGCACAGAGGGCAAGTGAAACCAAGATGGGGATGTGCACTGAAATATCTGAGAGCACAACCCAGCCCAGAGCACGTTTTAGCCCAGCAAATAAGTCCCTCTATACACATCATTTTCAGTGAGGGTTAACAGCCCAGGCAGCAATTCAGTTTCATCTGATAAACCTTAATTATTTTTATACGATACACAGCACAAAATTCACTAAGGTACTGCAAAGTTGCACTGTAATTATTAGCTCCCAGTTACTACAGTCACAAATAAACAAGAAAAAGCTGCTGGGACAGGTAGTGTTCTTTCTCTGTGTTGATGTGCACATGTTGGTTGAATCACGCGCACTGGTCACAGCAATCAAGAGCGATCCCCTGCCTTGAGAAAAACGCTGTCCTCCTCGGCAAACAGGGCAGCAGAAACAGCTCTTGCAACCAAGCCCTAGATGCGATCCAGACTTGAGGAGGAAATTATCCACATTTTAAACTCCAGGAAGCGGAGGCCCAAATAGGGGGAACGGATTGCTGAAGGTACCGGCCACCACCAGAACTGAACACAGCAACGAGCCTCTAACCGCAGCCCTAATCCCAGGCAAGTCGTTTACAGTGGCAGGCCCTCAGTTTCCCCAACTGGGGACCTGGGCAGCCCAGCTCCCCGCAGCCTGTGGCGCCGTGTGGACAGTGTCCCCTTGCCCACCTTTCACGATGAGCTCGGCGAAGTTGGAGACACCCGAGCCCCGGACAGACTGGGTAACGCAGCGGTACATGTCCTGCTCCCTCTTGGACACCTCATCCAGCTGGAACGTGGCCAGAAAGCGCCGGTGGCTGATGTGCTTCACCGAGGTGGCCGGCACCACATCCCCGTTCTGCCTCTGCCCGCCGGGGAAAGAGAGATGTTAGAAGGAGGCATAACATCACCTCCCAAGCCGTAAAATAGGTCTCCAAAGGATGTCTGGTTAGAGGGGAGAGATCCCCCCTTCGTTTGTTATCATGTTCCATAGGAAAGGGACACAAGGAGGTTAATGGTGAAGGCGGTGGGGTGTAACCCCTGGTCGGAGGGCACCAGCCCATCCATCTTACCTGCATGAGGAACCTCTCCGCCTCAGAGGCCTTCCCGGCGGCCACGCACTGGAAGGTTGCGTTCTGCCCCGCGTTCACCTCCACGTCGCCCAGGCGGGAGAAATGAGGCGCTTTCGCTGTCGGGAGACGGGGAAACAGGAGAGTCACCAGAGGGCTGAGACTCACCAAGGACCCACATCCACCTCAACCCCACCACCAGGACCTGGGCGCTGGGGCCAGAGCTGAGCTCCAGGCAGGAGTAGCAGCCGACCGGCTGTTGGGACACGAGCTCCCCTTTCCCAGCGTCTGTTGGGACACGAGCTCCCCTTTCCCAGCGGGGATGGGGGAAGCTCCCAGCCCCACCAGCCCATCTCGGAGGGCGTTTTGGGGCTATGCGCTTGCTTTCAGCCTGCATTGCACCAAGCTCGTGTATCAACCAGAGCAGCGACGGGGCTGCACATCAGGCAGAGAAAGGCTCTTTTCCCGGTGGAGCAACGTGTCCCTCAGAGACCATGGCGGGAGACAGGAGCCCTGGGGCAGCACGAGGAGACCTCGTCCATCCTCTTGAACGGCCTCCACTGGCTTCACCCGCCCCAGCAGCAGGGCCCGCTGGCCGCTCGGCCGTACTCACAGCAGGGATAGTTCAGGAGCAAGATGTCGTCCAAGCCAAGGTAGCCCCTGCGCTCGCTGGACACCACGGCCTCGAACAGCACCTGGGGCAGCCGGCAGGGTCAGGCGAGGCGGCAGCCCGCGGCCGAGGGGCACCGAGGGCACCGCGCGCTCACCTGGTACTCGTTGGGCCAGAACATGCTGACGGCCAGCTCGGCCTGGTGCCACTGGCGGCCGTGGGAGCCCGAGGCGTCCCAGACGGCGCGGCCCGGCGGGCCGCCCGGCACCTCCACATAGGCGCGCAGGGCGCCGGGGCCGCGGCCCTCGCGGCCGTAGAGGAAGTAGCTGAACTGCAGGCAGTGCGTGTCGTTCTCGCTCAGCGGCGGGAAGAGCAGGCGGGCCCGCTGGCCCGGCGCGTGCTGCGACGCGTTCACCATGAGGTAGGAACCTGCGGCGCGGGGGAGACGCCGTGAGAAGCCGCGCGCGGCGCCCAGGCCGCCCGCCCCGTCCCCTCGCCATCGCTCCGCACCGCGGCCTTCCCGCCTCAGCCCGCGCCAGGCTGCTTTCCAGGCTGAAAATTAAAGAAAAATAAAAGGGGATCATTTTAATTTCCTCCTGGAAGCAGCAGGGAAGGGAGCAGGGGGATGTTTCTTCTCTCTCATGATCTTTTTGCCCTCCCCAGCAAAGTTATTGCTGCAAAATGGAGACACTCGGGCTCCCTTTGGGCCATGCCTCAGCCAAGCGCCGTCCTTGATGCCCATCCGATCTGCTGGTTGATGTTGATACAAAAAGGCCCTTTGGAAAGAGGGCAGAGGAAAAAAAATAATTGAGAGTAAAATGAAATCGCTGAGCAGCCCCCAAACACGACAGGCTGCAGCACTGGGACGGGGGAGTCCTCCCCGATGGACCCACAGTCCCCGAACGCAGCCCGGAGAGCGCTCCCGAGACACTCTATGGGAATATTTTCCGTACTTTCCATATTTCCTTGCCAAGCTGGCAAGGATCCCCGCGCTCGGTGTTTTTCCTCTTAAATATTTTCTTCCCAGCGTCACCATAACCGCGAAAGCGGCTTCGCGCTGCTCGGCTTTGCAGTAATTATGTCATCCCTGCAATGTCTTTTTTTTCCCCCCTGCAAACTGCTGCTGCTAACTCCAGCCTCAGCTTCACCTTAACCTTCCGGGGATAGATTATTTTTTTTGCTTTAGACAAATAAATAATGAAAGATAACCCAAACAAACAAATTTTCCCCGGGCAGAGCCAGTCCCCAGCGCTGCCAATACAACCAGGATCATTACCCCAGATGAGGAGCTCGTCATCAACCCCTAAAGCCAAGGGGCCAGCTCAGCCAGCGACAGGATCCAGGATCCCAAGCTAGGATGTTATCTCCCACTAACGAGGCAATTAAGGAAGCACTCATCTGCAGGAGTATTTATCTGCTCTAAATGGATAAATCAAGTGAGAGGATAGAGGTGCTGCGAGCAAACCAGCTCTGAGCAGCCGTCTTGAGCATCCTCCTGCTGCAGGCAGTATCCTCGGGTTGCGGCGCACTGAAGTGAAACACCCGTCCAGATCTGAGCCTGCTGATTAGTCCTTGTTATCGCAGGGGCTAACGGGGCTCTGCATGAAGCAGCACATCCTGCAGCCCTGGGGAATTACTGAAATTGCAAGGGTGAGAGTTGCTCGCCAAGCAAAAAAAGAGGATCGCAAGCTAGCAGCGTGGCAGGAGGCTGCGCAGCACCCGGAGGGAAAAGCGCCGTTTATTCCTGCTGTAAAGGGACAGATGCCGGCAGATACAGATGGGGCTGAGGGAAAACACGCTCCTGCCCACGGCAGCAGCACAGGGAGACCCATGGAGGCAGCAGGAGACCCACACAAGGGTTGCAGGTGACAACAGGGTGACAGCTGGCACGTGCACCATGACCATCCAAACATCTGGACAGAAAGTTCAAAGAGGCATTTGGCAGCCACACACCGGAGCCAAGGCAATGCCGAGCTCTACAGGGATGCTCCCAAGGCCCCAGGTACCACGAGCCTCTGGGTTTGCAGTGGGAATAAGGAGGAGCCAAGTGGAAAGGTGCCTGGAGTGCAGCTGCCGCAGGGATATGGGAGCTCTCCGAGCCACAGGAACACGACAGCCTCGTACAGGAATTTGCCCCACGCTCCTTGGAGCAGTTGGAAGATGGCGCTCATGTTGGGGTGAATCGGTCATGCTCCATAACAAGAGCTGCAGTAAATCATGAACTCAGCCCGCGATGTGCAACACGGGTGCCCTCGGCAAGTGCCACGCTGTGGCCTAGCAGCGAGTGCATCGGGTGACGCAAACAGGACAGGAGGCTCCAGGCCCCTTGGATTTGTTGCCCGTTAATCCTTAAACCACAGCCCAGACCCCTAGGAAGCCTCTCCCGTGGGAAGACGTCCTTCCCACCGCGCACTCAGCCTCGTTCTAGTGACAGCTTCCATGAGGATCACCCAGCCTTCCCACCCGGGGCGATGGCGGAGCAGGAATGAGCACTCTGTGAGCTGCCAAATCCGGGATTTTACAGCCCATCTCCATCCCTGCAAAGGAGCAGGAGACGGCAAAGCAAGGGAGGCTGCTGCCGGTCCCGCTCGGCTGGGCATCCAGGGCCACCACGGCCCCAGGAGGTCCCAGACCAGCGCAGCAGAGCCCAGGGGACACCCAGGACATTTTGAGGCAGCCAGAGGGGTTGGAGCAACATTGCAGCTAATCAGCACAGCTGTTTCCTTAAGTCCTGTCCATATGTCAACATGTCCATTAAAATCTGCTCTAAAACTCATGACAGGGAAATGACTTGCGAATCAACCATGCAACAACCAACATCTGTGTTCAGGGATCACTGCATCAACCAGTGGGATGCTCTGGGTTGAGAAGTCAGAGGCAAAGGCAGGTTCAGACCCTGTACTTCAAGTGATGGTTATAGCCTAAAAGCTCCTGCAGCCTTGAAGAATTGGAGGAGAAGAAGCGAAACAGCCTCTCCATCCACTCATGTCCGGGCTCACGCCAACCTCCACAACACGGCCCTGGCTCCAGTTGCAGCTCCAGCGTGGCTGGTGTCACTCCGCAGCAGCAAACAGGTCCCCAGAGCCACCAAAGGGCTTGCACTGAAGAACCACGTGCCCTTGCGCAGGCTCCTGGGCGCAGAAAGGACATGCAGAAGGACACAGCAGGGGTAGGGGGGCTCTGCAAGGGCTTCTCCACACCTTGAGCAGAAAGCCCTGGGAGCATCGCAAAAAATGCACCAGTCTTGAGCATAGTTTTCACCCAACCTGCGGCTTGGTCTGTTTCAGAGATCGCCCCAAGCTGCAGAGGAATCATCCCCCTGCCCCAAGTGGCTGCGGAAGAGGAGAGAACCGTTCATCCGTCCGTCCACTGCCACCCCTGGTGCACAGCCGCCGCCGGCCAAGAGCCCATTAGCACAGGCAGATCAATCCCTGCCGAGCCGGGGTTGCTAATTCCTTCCTCTGGCCTTCGATCCCATGTGAGGGCGGGTTCGATGGACGCTGCTCCCACTGCCGCCCGCGCCCTCCGGCCCCACTTCGCCGGGCTGGGGAGCGGGCGGGACGAGGCCGGCACTGCGTTTAACCTGGAGGGGCTGCTGGGGAAGAGGCGCCAGCTGCTCAATGCAGAAAAACTCTGGAAAAGGGCGGGGGAAGCTGGAAAGTGTTGGAGTAAAACAAATGGAAACAGAAGTTTCTGGCTGCATTTCCTATGGGAAAGGCATCCATTTGCTCTGTAGAAGTTGGCCGCAAGGCCCATCCGAAGTGTGAGCTGTCAAACTGGCTCTGCCCATACGCAGAAAACCTCGAGCTTGCCAGAGCGAAGTCCTCATGCAACGTCTCTAGCCTAGTTTTCTGATTAAGGGGGGAATTGGCCTTTGCACAGAGTCCAATTCGGTCTCCAAGAATAACCCGGCACCTCCGAAAACCCCGACCTTGAGCAGCAAAGCCCAGCACCGCGTTCCCAAAAGCCGCCCAGCTGCAGAGTGCAGCCTTGAGCGCGCCGAGATGGATCACGCCGGCGCGCGCCTGAGCGGCGTGGAGGATCCGCCAGAGAATAGCAAAGCCTCCGGAAAAGGGCAACAAAAATCTCTTCCTCTCAATCCGCACTTCGGGGTCGACCCCTGCGCGCGGGCGCCACGGAGCTCCGAGCTCCCGGGGCGGCCCCGTGGCTTCTGCTCCGGCGCTTCCCCGGCGAGTGGGAATCGGAGCCGAGCGGCGCCGCGGGGTCGGGAAGGGGCAGGCAGCACTGGCCATGTGCAGGATGCCGCGGTGCCCTGCTCGGGGTGATTTTAAGGGAAAGCATCCAGGAAAGGGTGTCCCCTTCCCCAATGAAGCAGCAGGGATTTTTGGTGAGCCCTGCTTGGTGCTCCCCAGAGCATCCTCGCACAAGGACGCAGGAGACCTGGGAATCGCTCGCCTCTGGAGGGCTGCTCCATCTGTATTTTACATGTTTTACACTCTGTGTGCAGGCAAATGCAAATGGAGCAGTTGCTCATGCTGAACTGACCCGTCCTCGCCCCACGTTTGCCACCTGCTTTTGGACCTCTACATTGAGCAGCCACCCCCGGGCTGGCTGCTCGACGGCGACAAGCGAGCCCGGACACCCAGCAGCGTCTCATCACACCAGAAAAGCCTCTCTCCTCTCCCCAGCGCTGAACTTACTTAAAAGACTGATAAGAAATAGGGAAAGCAGGATGAGAAACAGCCTAGAGGGGAGGTAAGCCCTAATTTCCAACTTAAAAAAAAAAAAAAAAAAAAAAAGAAAAATGCTTTGCACTGCAAACTTAGAAACATATACGTGCAAGGCAGTTCTAGGAGGCAGAGGAGTCCAGGTGCTCCAACCAAGGTGGCCGCTGCTAGCGGGGCCCTGCTGCACGGCTGGGTGAGGAGCGGAACAGCAGGAGGCTCCGAGCTGGGCCCTTCCCAGGTTTCCTCCGACCCCAATCAACTGCAGTGCAGTTTCCACCAGGTAAACTGGGCAATTTCAAACAGCAAAAACCCCTTCCTCAGCATTGTCCCCTGGTTCTGCCCCGTCACCAACATGGGCCCCGTCACCATCCGCATCCCACGAGCTCACGCAGGGCTTCACCCGAACACCCTTCGCAGCTTCGACCACTGCTAAGTGACTCAACCTCGTGTTTCACCTCAACAGCTCCCGAAATCAGCCCAATTTAACTCCTGCTGAGCCAATTTCCCTGCCCAGACCATCTGGACCTTTCTCTGCAGAGGCAGGTTGTCCTTCACCACCCCAACCCCTGCAGCTGGGGCACTCCATGTGAATGTGAAGAGCAGCATGGACCAGGCCACATCCATGGGCCAGGCTACATCCATGGGTCCCGCCTAGGAGAGGAGCACGTCCGAAATCCCCCGCCGCGTCCATGGAGAGTGAGCCCAGCTCAGGAGCGGGAGAGCTCCCGCGACCCCAGCTCGCCCCAACCTTCCCTTTAAAGAACAATAAAGTGGTGAAAAAGCAGGACTGCAACGCGGGAGAGACCCATCCATCAGCTTCATGTGAAAGAGGGAGACAAGTCAAGACGGGCTGGGGGAAATGAGCACAAACAAAGCACAAAAACAAACAGAAAGAGGGAAGAAAAGGTAGAGGTGGGTGGCGAGCAGCCAGGATCTGCTCACATAAATTCCATGTTCCTTGAAATTGGCTGATCTCCAATAAAAACTCATTTTAATCTAAGACCACGAGACGCCTTTGTAAAGCGCTCCCTGGAGAGGCCGCAGGGATGTGGGATATTACTGATGTGCCGGAGGGGCCCGGAGCGGCACGATGAGGCTGGGGCCGCGCGCCCCTCCCGCCCTTGCCAGTTTTGTGGGAAGCGTCGGGAAGTCCATCCCGCTGATCCGGCACTCTGCGCCGTCCCGCTGCCCGGCACGCTCACGCCAAGGGCTCTGGCTGGGCCGCTGCCTCCCCGCGGGCAAGGGCGGCCCCGCTGCGGCGTCCGCACGGGGTGTCCGCGAGCCTGGCGCGGTGGCACCAGCCCCGCAGACATCGGCTCTTCAGCTCGGCCCCTTCTCTGCGGGGCTTCAGTGACGGCCCCAAAGCTCGCAGCAAACCCAGCTGGTTCCGGAGCTGCAGACCCCACGTCGGCAGATGCCCCCGCAGCCACCGCAGGCTCCGCTGCTCCATCCTGTGCCCGTCTTGACATCCCCGCCGCTGTACCCGCTCCATTCTCCTCCTCGAGACTCCCATTAGTCTCATTTTAAAGCAATTATTTGGAGGAATCCCCGAGGAGCAGCGGTCTGGCAGCACGGCCAGGTCTTTGCTCCGAGACAAGTCCCCTCCGTCCGACCGGGCTGCAATGGGGGCAGGAGGAGCCCCCGGGCCCGCCACGCTCCCTCCGGAGCCGCTGCAATTCCCACCTCCGAAGGAAAAATAAATAGACACCGCTAATAGCATCGTGTCCATGATTAACCGACCAGGAAAGAGCTGTTTTGTTTTCTGACGAGCTCTATTTAGGACCAGCTTTTCCTGGCCTAAATCTCAGCCCCCAGCATGTCAGACGGCCGCTGATTAATACATTTAATTGCTGCTCTGGAGGCGCCCGCATGTCCGGAGATGCGGAACGGGCCGGGAAGCTTTTCCCAAGGGTGAAACGTTTGCTCCAAGCAAGGCTTTGCAGGGAACAGCCTGCATGGACAGACACCTCCGCTGCATCCAGACATGCTGGTTCCTCCTTATTTTGGAATTTCCTTTTTTTTTTTTTTTTTTTTCCCAGAAAAACCCTCCTGTCAGCTCCACAGGAGACACGAGGCCATCAGCACCGGAGAGGCTGGGTTGCGCACGAGAGCCAAGCAGGAGCTAAATCCAGGCTAAAATTCCCCCTGCGCCGCCCTGGTGTGGCTGGGCCGTGGGCGACCACGGAGCTGAGGTGTCTCCCATAAACAGGAATCCCTCGGCACGGTGGCAGCCCCGTCCCTGCCGGCGGCCTCCAGGACACGCAGGGGACACCGCGTCCTCCGCATCCTGCTGCCCTCCGTGGTCCCCATCCGCCTTCCCGCTGTCACCCCCCAGGGCACAGCGGGGACACCCCGGGACAGCAGGGACAGGGCGCAGCGGGGGCCTCCGACCACGCGGACCCGACCGCGGCCGCTGCCTTCGGGAACGCGGTCCCTGGAGCCGGCGGGAAGGGAAAAGGCGTCGGGAGGAGGGAGAAGATAAAGGAAGAGCAGAGGAGGGAGCCGAGCAAAGCAGCAGCACGAGCGCGGCAGCAAGATAAACACCTAGAGGCAGATTGATGGGGCAGTAAAGAGCTTTCTATAAAGCAGTTAATGCTCTAATAAAAAAAAAGAAAAGGGGAAAAAAAACATTTGTGCTGTCAGGCTACAAACCAGCTTTTCTCTCGCCGGTGCTGGACACAGCCTCCTAAAGGAGCGTGTCCAGGAGCTCCTGGATGCAGAAACAAGGGAGCGCGAAGCCGAGGGATGTGGCACGGAAACGGGACCGGAGCTGGGGACAAGGCCAGCGCCACCCGGCCCCGCTGCCCTCGACATCCACAGGAGCTCCCAGTGGTGCCAGCGGGATGCCACCGGTGCCACCGACGGTGCCACCTCCTCTCCCCGAGCCCTGGGCTGCAGAAAGAGCCTGGACTCGGCCGGGCAGGCGGAGCGACGCCCTGCGTCCAGCAAATGATGCAAACTGGTGTGAAAGCAACGGGGCTGAAAGAAGCAAAGCGGGTCCAACTGCGCTGCCTCATTCTTACAGCTCCGGGGAAGCTTCTGGCTCACAGCACCGGCCTCTCCCAGCCCAGCAAGGGCCACAAACGCCCTTTTCCTTCTCACTGGACACCAGCAGGCAGGAATTACGCACAAAGCACCGAGCTCCAGGCAAAACCAGCCCCAGCCATTGATGCTGCAACAGTCAACGGGCCAGAGCCAGATCCTTCCATGGGAATAACTGCTCTGAAGGCGGCGCTTTAAAAAATGGAGAAAAAAGGACCATTTTTCCATGTGTCCACGCCCGGCAGGCTGGGGTGGCTGCTGCAGATGTGCCGCTCTGGGACAGATGGGGAGCGGGGCGGCCCCTGCGCTCCGGCCGGCATCGCAATCCCGGGCGTCGATCCCTTCTCCGCCAGCCGGCGATGGCAGCTCCGGGCTCTAAGCGAGGAAGAGCTCGGAGCGCAGGGCACCTGCGAACAGGAGCCCATTCCCCGCCATCCAGGAGCCGGAGCAGGGTTCCTGGGAACACCGCCATGGCTCCGGGAGGCATCGCTGTCCCCTAGGGCCGAGGGGCGAGCGCGAGGCCGCCGGGACACGGGACTCACCGTGAGGAAGGTCTGCGCTCAGGTGAGGCATCATGTAGCTGCGGACGAGCTCCCAGCCGAAGTCATCGTCCTCGCCCCGGCTGTACTCGCACTGCGCCGCGTCGCCGTCCTCCTCGAAGGTGCAGCCGGCTGCGGACGGAGGGAGACGGCGTGAGCGCCGCGCAGCGAGCCCCGGGGACACGCGTGGCCGGCGCTCCCGGACGGGCTCCCAGCAGGATGCTCGAGCGGGTGCCGGCACATCCTTTCCCAGCATCCCCATCCTTAGGGATCACAGCACTTAGACACCCAGGAGCCAGGTTATCCCACAGCCAATCGCTAACGTGAGCCCCCGCCTGCATCCGGGGAGGCAACGGCTTCCAAACACGGAAACCCTTTAGGAGAAGGGCGCTACTTGACTCATTTTTATTTATGTATTTTGCAGAGTAAGGCCGGGTCGGGCGGCCCCATCACGGATCCAAGCACGGATAACACAGGATAGCCAAGTGCCATCGGCAGAGCCGGGGCGCCACGTGCCGCCCGCTCCCTCGTGTTGTGCCCTTAGACCCGGGATTAGGGCAAGCCGGGACTTGGGCTGCAACTAATGCTGGTCATGGCCAGGGAACGATGGCGAGCGGGAAGAGCCCTGGGCAAGCGGAAAGGGATGCAGAGGGATGCTTGGGGATGCCGCCCGCGCCGGGTTGCAGCTCCCATGGGGGCTTTGGGAGCAACGGGACCAGCAGAGTCCCAAATCCCACCCCAGCACAGCAGGAAACCCGGGTTCTTCCCGCACGCAGAATCCCTCCCATCCTGCCCGGCCAGGCTGCCAACCTCCCCGAAACCTCCCCCCGCTGAGCATGAAGGCTGGGAAAAAAAAACCACAAAATCCCAGCACGTCACCAAGGATGCTGCCCAAACGGAACGGGGTTTTTCCTCCTCTTTTTTCTTTCTTTTTTTGCTAGTGAGCAGCAGAAGCTTCAAACACAGCCGGTCAGAGGAGCCTTTGCCGGTGGCCACGGGGCTGCCCGAGCCCTCCCGACTGCCTGGGCTGGTCCCTCCTGCGCGGGGGCCTCTCCTCCCTGACGCTCCCCCCGTCTACAGCTCAGCTCCGTGGGGCTCTCCACATTGGCTGCAATTTGTCTGCAATTTAGTTTTTTAAGTATATATATGTAGAGCACTTCCCCATCAGGGATGTATCAGCCTTGTGCCCCTACAGGGCTGCTTGTCACTGCCCAAAGCACCTGCAGGGCTGGGACACGCTGTCCCTGGAATGGCCCGTCGTCAGTAGGTTCAAGAGTACACAAGAGTACAAGCCGCTTTTAAGCCCTACCAACGTCGGCACCTGTGCCAAGTGTCTGTGAGCACCGGTGGGAAAAAGCAGGCATCGGATCAAGGCCAGGAATAAAGAGAGAGATCCATGTGCTCGGGCTAAAAGCAGCCTGTGCTGGAGGAGGTGCGATCCGAACAGCAAGAGCAGATAAAAATACCCCGCGAGGTGCCACTTCCGAGAGCGCCCACGCGTCTCAGAGCGGCACAAACCCCCAAAACACCCGGGAGGGCAACGCAGGGCCCTGCCCCACACCCCGCAAGGGGCAAAAAGGAGCAAGAGCGGGAGATGGGGCAGGAACATGGAAAAGCTCCTGCTGTGGCCGGGGTCTGGGACAGGCCCAGCAGGAAAGTCCGGATGCTGCTGCCAAGGCAGCGAGCGGGAAGGATGCAGCTGGGACCTGCACAGGGAGCAGAGCAAAAGCAAAGGATTTGTGGAAACAGGAAGAGGGAAAAACCACTGACTAAAGCAGCAGCGCCCAAGCACAAGGGAGAGGGTGTAAACGTCCCGAGCCCGAGGACGGGGTGGCCGAGCAGCGTCCGAACGCGGCGAGCAGGAGCCCTGCGGAGCCGCAGAGGGAGCGAGGGGTGCCTGGCACGAGGGCTTCCTGCACGATCATTTCCCTTGCTCCTTCTTGCTTCTTTTATTACCCACTTAAAAACAATCAAAAATCAGGAATATAAAGCATGTGATTTTTGATCCAGGCTGGGGTGAGGCACATCGCTCGCATTCAGAATGCAGCTGCCTGCAAAGCGGGCAAGGAGACGGCCTGGCGGAGCAGCAACAGCCCGGCAGCGCCGCCAGCGCAGCATTCCCGGCGTTCCCGTTCCTCCGGGAGCGAGGGAACGTGGGGATCCGGCAGCGGGAGCGCCGAGACCCGGCTAAAATCAGACTCCGTTGTTGCCCCCGCGCCGCTCGGCTGAGCGCTGGCGCCGCGCTGGAAACGCAGGAGCTTTTTCCACGTTAGCAGGAGCAATCGGGCTCCATGGCACCGGAGCCGAAGTCGCTCCCCCCGGGGCTTTTCTGCAAGTCTCGAGGAGGGGAGCTAACTACTCAATTAGGCGCCCGTCGCACGCTCGGGGGGACACAAACGTGACAGCCCCACACAAACTATTAGCTATTCCACACGCAACACCTTGCAAGAAGCGCTTCCTTTCCTTCTCCGCCCACTTCGGCAAAAGAAAAATGCTCAAAAGCAAAAAATTCCCTATTTCCTGGCCGCAGCGTAAGCTAAGCAGAAGAACGCGGAAAGCAGCGACATCCAAAACCCTGCCAGGAGTTTGTTTTGCTTTTCCTCCTCCTTCTAAACACTGCATTTAATAGGAAAATAATCTGCTCGCTTGTAAGAAACATCAATTTGCAACTCGAAGCCTTGTAAAATAGCCAAAGCAGCTAATGCATAAACACTGGTTTTAGCCAATGCAATCCCAGGCAGAGAGGAGCCCGATATTAAGAGAGGATTTGCATAATAAGTCACTTATGCCCGATAACCCCAGCGTTCGCGGAGCGCAGCGCCGCCGGGAACAATATCGGGCTGTCGGCAACAGCTTTTCTTCTTTTTTTTTTTTTTTTTTCCTTTTTTTTTTTTTTTTTTTCCTCTCCTGGAAAAGGCTCCTCGTGGTTCAAACCATGGCTGAAACCTCCCAAGCTCCTGGGTTTCCAGCCCAGGAGCCACTGGCCTGCAATGCAAGCACTTAATAATTAACTTGTGGTTAATTAACACATTCAGGGCTGCCTCTATTCCAAGGAGAAAATATAAATATATATAATATATTTTTTTATATATACATATATATATATATAAAAGGACTTTGGAAGCCTCCATCTCGCAGGCACCGATCGCTTCCGATTGCAGCGGAGCTGCCCCGAGCGGAGCTCGGCCGCGGGGCTGGACATGGGGCGCCGCGGGGCAGCTCAGCCGTGTTATTTATGGCTTTGCACCATGAAAAAGGGGGGGAAAAGCTGCTTGCAGAGCTGCCCACGAGGCAACTCGCCCCGCTGCAGCCCAGACAGCGCCTGGGTACTGCAGGAGCCAAGTGCTCCAAGGGAGGAAGAGGAGGGAGGAAGGTGGGAACGAGGCGGGTTTCGCTGCTCTGCAAAAACCCCATCAGCAGCTCCCTCGCAAGCTGTAAAGAAACGGAAAAACTGAAAAAAAAAGAGGGAAAAAAGCAATAGGGGAAGATTGGCAGGAAGGCTGAAAGGTGGCGCGGAGGCTGACACGGGCGGATCAACGACGGGCGCGGGGGCCGCGCTGCCAAACGGAGCCAACGGCGCCGCGGGAGCTGCCGGGGCCCAAAACGCGGCGCAGCCCCGGGGGGCACCCGGGCGCGTCGCGGCGCCCACCCTGCAGCGCGCGGGGTCGGGGACACCCCGCCGAGAGCGCCCCGTCCTCTCCTCCCAAGCCTCGCGGTGCCGTTGCCCGCAAAGCCGGGATTGCCCTGCCAACGGCCTGTGTCAATAGTCCAAATTGGAGTTTTCTCCCTTGTTTTCCCCCTGGGGGATATTAATGGGCTCTGGCACTGCTGCTGGGAGCCCAGTTATTTCCATAGGTTCCCTAAAAGTTGCAGCTTGATGCGCACACAGGGGCATCCACCCTCTCCAAGGAGGAAAAATCCCTAAAGGGCTCCGGCAGCGAGCGGGCCCGTGGAAACGTCGCCCAGCGAGCCCCAAAACAGGGCCCTTTCAAAGGCAGACCCTGCGTGGTGGGCTGAGGCCCTGCCAGCTCATTGCACTCACACTCTGAAAGCAAAAATAAAAAACCAAAACAAAGAAACAGAGCAAAAACCCCAACTGTTTTCTCATTCAAAATCCAGCACGAGGAGAGCACCCAGGGAAGACAAAAACCCCAAGCGGCAGCGCAGACGAAATGATTCATTCCCGGTGCCAAACGCGTCGCGGCTGCAGCAGGTTTGTTTTGCACCGAGACGTTACAGGACTTAATTCCCCTCCTTCTCCTCCATCTGTTGCATGTTCCTCCCCGCGCAGGGAGGGAGGATCCGACGGCCCCGGCCGCCCCCATCTGCCGTTCGCACCCGCTCCGCGACTGCTCCGCCTGGCAGCCAAACTCAAAAGCTTGACACGAGAAAGCAGGTGAAGCGTTTGGGCTCCTTAGCAAGCCTGTGTAGAATACATACATGTTTTTAAATAAAAAATATATAGGTTTTTTATATAAGAAGTGACACTAATAACAGCAGCTCCAAGTTCTGTTTGATGCCCGTATCAGCAGTGCAGAAGAGGAGGAAGAGAGGGAAGAGGAAGAGCTAGACCCTGCAGCTGGATCCTCAAGCAGCTCGCAGGCTCCAAGCCGCCCCAGCGAACGGGAGATGCTCAGAGTGGACCGGGCCCAAGGAGCAACCTCTCCAGCAGCATCGTCACCATCTCCCACTCGTCCCCCGGCATCACCACAACCACCAGTCACATCCCCACCGAGCTCCCAAAGCCTCAGGAAGCCACAAAGGAGGAGACAACCCTGAGCTGTGCGTTGACAGGGGGCTAAACATCAATCAAAAAGGGTTATTGGAGTCTGAACGGGTCTCCTGCAGGGCGAGACCCTGCACGGCTCTCTCCCAAGGGAGGATGTCGCTGCATCCCCCTTCCTAAGGTGCTCCATGCACCAAGGAGCATGGAGACATGGAAAAACCTTCTCCGTCCACCCCCAGAGCTCCCATTTGGGGAGCAGGTTGGTTCTAAGAGCTGGAAAATCCTTCCCAACCTCCGATCGGGATCTCCTGTTCTTCGAACCCGACACGTCCCCTGCACCCGCCGTTTCTGCCCCTCGCTCGGCCCGCGGGATGACGACGCGGCCGCAAACGTC